TCTGAGATAACAGGTTCAGGACCCAAGCCATTTTTATATAGTGTTCTAGCATCCACTTGACAATACAGGCTGAGGTAAACAATAGGCTTTTGATGTAACCTTCCGTTTCCTAAACACCACCAGTAATTAGTTACACAAATTAACATAGGGCAATTTATCGTTTAGGCAGTCTATCACAAACTTCAAAGAGACATATTGACAATGATATTATTTCACCCAAGATTAATCTAAATGTTAATATTCCCTTTTTGATCTCTGAATCAATAGCTATAGTGACAGACAGGAACTGTTTGTTTACATGGGTAATGTTTATGAGTACACATATACAATTACAGGTTTCAGAGTAGTAGCCGTGTTAGTCTGTATCCGCAAAAGTTCGATGAAGTGAGCTGTAGCTCACAAAAGCTTATGCTCAAATAAATTTGTTAGTCTCTAAGGTGCCACAAGTCCTTCTTTTCTTTTTGCAATTAGTATCACCCCTAACTTCTAACACTATAGGTTTGCATTTCAAAGTTCTAGCCTATCTACCATGAATGGCCCTAATTACCATTTGCATACCTTCTAACATGACTTTAAAGGTTGGCTCTGGGTCATCCAGCCTGCAAGCTGCTTATCCTTTTCTGGCCATGAGTTATATTTTGTATAAGATTCGCTGCAATTATATAGCAGTGGTAGCAACAATGATTTGCATGATTATATTTCAATTAGACAACATCACAGTATGTCTGGTGCTTTGTGCAATATTTTACAGCACAAGAAATCTCAATCTCGCTCTGTTTTCTCCCAGCAAACCTGGTCCAGTTCTTTCATTAACCCAAGGGGGTGTTTTAATCATGAATGGTGCAGAATGATAGTCTGTAACAAAAACACAAGTGCATCCTTTGTTCTCCTTCATGGAAAGAAGTAACATGCCAACAGAATGCCACTATTACCATTTCTAATGCTTACTTTAAGCTGGGCAATATATCACTTCCACAGGCGTTCCTATGCAGGGGGTAAAGGCATTAAAAGTATCTAAATCATAAGTCTGCTTTTTTGGGAAGATTAGTAACAGATGAAACGTACTTGTCCACTGCTTGCAAATGATAGTGGAAAATATTATGATCTGCACCGTAGGCTTGTGAACTCCAGCAGGAATTAGAGAAAAATGCAACTGTTTCCCCTCATTATGAATATTGGTTTTGGTTCAGGTATTTTTAGAGCTGGATGAGTTACTGCAAAACATTTTCCCATCAGGGTTCATTTGAATTGTATGTAAATTCAGCTATGTTTATGCCACCTTTGCATTTATTTTTCATGAATATTCTAGAGAATGAGTTCACTGGTTGGGATGTTTGCAAAAAAAACTGTGAATTTTTAGTGTATATATTCACAGAAAGAGAATTTCAGATTCTTAATTTGTGAGTATTCACACAAAACTTGATTCTATGAGTTATGCTCATCCAGTGAGGAAGAGAAACAATACCATCTGACAAAGGTGTGCAATCAAAGTAGCCATAATGCTGATTATTGAATATTAATATGATCTGCTTGTGAACAAGCTGCGGGCCAAAAAACATTTGTAGAAATACTTTGGCTTTAAGAATTTTACATTACAAATACATTAAAGAAAATTGTGGTCCGTTTGTAGACAATTCACAAACTCAAATGGGAAATTCACTAAACAGATAACTAACTACATGTTAATTGCTCAGCTCTTCATGTTTGTAAGATGAGCAGGCCAGATTCTGCTGTTGTTGATAGTGGTGTAAATCCAGAGTAACTGAAATCCATGGAAAGGAGTACTTGTGGCACCTTAGAGACTAACCAATTTATTTGAGCATGAGCTTTCATGAGCTACAGCTCACTTCATCGGATGCATATCATGGATACTGCAGCAGACTTTATCCACGATATGCATCCGATGAAGTGAGCTGTAGCTCACGAAAGCTCATGCTCAAATAAATTGGTTAGTCTCTAAGGTGCCACAAGTACTCCTTTTCTTTTTGCGAATACAGACTAACACGGCTGTTACTCTGAAACCTGAAATCCATGGAGTTACTCCAGATTTACACAAAACACAGCTGAGATCAGAGTCTGGCCCAAGGTACATGAGAAGCTCAAGCAAATGAGTCTGAGAAAAGTCCTATGTTTGCTGCAAACAGAACCCAACAGGGAGAAAAAAGCTAGACACAATAAATAACTTTTTATATCTATAAACAGAGGCAAAAATACTTGTGTTTTCAAATGCTGAAAATTAGGGAGTGATTCAGACTGACCTTATCCTGTGCCCGCCCCGGCACAAGAGTGAGACTGAATTGGTGTGTGTGTGTAAAATTAGTTCCAAGGCTGACTGTGAATGCTGAGTCTGTTAGATTTCTAAGTTAATTTACTGCATCTGCCATTGCTTAGCTGGCCCAGTCTCCAGGATGAAACACAGGGATTTCTTTTAAAAACGAGTACATTGAGTGGGCTTTGGTTTTTGTAGTTGTGACCTAGTGTAGCAGCAGAGAGGGTGAGACTCTTGCTCTCCGATTAACATCCCTTTTGTGTGTATGTATGATGGAGGAACAGATATTTGGGGAAACAGATATGAAACTGGGGCACTGAAACTCACAAAGGAAAACTGCACTGACTTCCTCAGATTTTCTAGTGACCCAACCCTTGTCTGGGTGGGGGAGGGAGTCTGGAAGAAACATGCTGCCATCTTGTGATGAGACTCAGGAACTTCATCAGCACTGAGGCAAAAAAAAAGAAAACAAAAGTGTATATGGCATATTGGAACTCTAGCTTGAGGTTTAATTTAGTCATATTTGGGGTAGTAATTAGAGATAGCAGTGTGATGCTGGAGGAAACGCTAAATGCTCGAGCTCATTGGGATGCTGAGTCTCTGGCTGTCAAAGAGAAAATGTGTGAACAAGTCAATGTGGTTTTGGAAAATCTTGAAGTAGAAATGGGCACAAATAGACAAAGATGATGCCTAGATATTGTGGTGATTGGCGAGCTATAAGCACCTGAGAGAGGGAGAGAACCAAAAAGCTAATACATAAAAAATCCAGGTCCTAACATCCCTGAATACTGTGGACGTTGAAATGTTTGAAATCCAAAGACAGATCTGGATTTACATTTTCTATCTGGCCCCAACATTACAGTGGCTTGTGACAAAATCCTGTATCTCAGTGCCCAAATGCTGTGGCTTAAGCCCATCACTACCTGACAGCATCCCTTTAAACAGGATGACACCTGCTGAGACAATAACCTCTTAAAGGGTGCAGGCAGCTACCTGCCCATGTGGATTGTCTGGGGATTGGGCATTTTAGAAAAGGAGAGAGAGAGTATGTACAAACTTTCTTTCCACATTTTTATCACTTATTTAAGTAATTAGTGCCCTTGTTTCATACTTCATTCTATCACCTTACACAATACTAAACGCTTTGAGATAACATAACATACTTACAACATCTTATGTAATAGATGCATGCAGATATAAAAAGTTGCCACAAAATATAATCTAGTAAAACTGCAGTTATACTTCCAGAGCATATACAACTGTGTGGAATTTATTCTCTTTTAAGGGATTTACCAATGGAATGGCCACTGGCTTACTGGGAGATTGCTGCACTTTGTGATTTCAAGTTTTCTTTGTAGCCATTCCGAGTAAAGTTGCGGAACTCATTGCTATGCAGGCAGGGGTAATTCAGTGTCTAGAACATTGCATAGAAGCCGGGCTGCAAGAGTAACCTTGGCCACAGTGGAATTTACTCTTTAGAAGGAAAGTTTTGTTAACAATAAAGTCTACCAACTTCCATGGACCTATTAAATATAGTCCACTGGAGACTTGAGAAGCTTGTGGCTGATTCAATCAATGTGAAGAGCTAAGTTAGATCAGGGTTGTGGTGAACAGGAACCTGACATATTATGGAGGATGATTCTGTCAAGTGAAATATGCGAAAGAAAGGAGTGCTGTGTGGACAGGAACTTGAAATGCCACTTCCAGCCCCCATCTGATGGGGTTACTCCACTGCTTTTTGATTTGTTTATAAAATGGGCCTAATTGTTGACATCTGAGGTGTATGTACAAAATAATAATAGAAAAATAAGCACGGGCCCCGGTTTCAAACAGCTGCTTCTGTTTGCGCTTCTGTGACATATGAGCAGCAGATACCTTACTGTGCTTGATGCTGTTATGTGCAGGTGACAGGGTGTTCACTGGCAGGCGTTAGTGCTTGAAAACATTGGGTGGTTGCGAGCGCATGGAGAGAGCATGCGTAAGGTCCCTTTGAAAACCGCGTCCAGATTCTACAATCACAACAACGCCCCTCCCCTGCAGCTATTCTCTAGAAACAAACTGATCATCAACCCCCTTCTGCCCGTCTCCTCAGTATCAGCCTGGAAGGAGAGGCAGGATTTACCCCTGCTCTAAAAGGTAGCAAATCTGGCCTCGGTCTTGCTACTGGGGGAAGTGAATTGCCCCCCACCCTGCCTTTTTTAATTGGTTAGCTCCAGTATCTCCAGTCCACTACAAAGGGGAGTGGAGCCTCTCATAAAGTCAGTACTCAGAGTATGTTATGTTACGACGAGACGTTATCTGCCTTGCCCGCCTATAGTAGTCGCGTCTGCATGTGTACGTACCTGTGGTGTACTGCTCTCTCCACTTCAACATAACAGTCTTCAAATAGGGAAAAGGTTATTATAAAGAGGATGGAGATCAGTTGTTCTCCATGGGTAGGACAAGACGTAATCAGCTTAGTTGGATATTGGGAAACACTTTCTAACTAAGTCTATATGGATAGTTAAGTATCGGGACAGTTACCTCAGGAGGTTGTGGAATCCCCATCACTGGAGGTTTTTACAAACAGTTTGGACAAAGGCCTAGCAGGGATGGTTTAAGTATACTTAATCCTGCCTCTGTGCAGGGCGGGGATGGACTAGATGGCCTCTTGAGGTCCCTGTCAGCCCTACATGCCACCTTCACACAGAATCCAAATAGTCTCTGAACACATCAGTGAACGTAAACTGAGCTTTTTAAAAATGCTGCTGTTTTATTTTTTATACAAACTAAAACACCAGAGGTCATTGAATCCTATATTAAATACATAAATTAAAAAATAACCATTCATAAAACTTTACATACAATAAGGATTCTCATCTACACATTAATACATATAGTACATATACATATACAGAGTTTATCAAAGGGTCATTCTGCCAATTCATTTACAGTTCTCTTCTGGAATAGACACAAAAACAGGAGCAAAATATGTACAGGTGCTGATGCGAAAGAGAAAATAAACTCCATTGGGTTGCCAAAGATTATGAGGCAGTTTATTGAACGTAGACTCAGTGAAAACGAAGGCCTGGCCAATTCAGACTACATGGGATGCAATGGAATTGGAAGTTTTGGTGATTCAGAGGATACTCCCACTGAGTTTAGGATGAGAGACTGGAAAGCTCAATAATGCATCCTGTAGGCATTGCAAAAGGAGAGCTTGGAGTTGTGACCCATGTTGATATTAATACTGCTGAACTGTGCGGGATCACCTATTGTCCTTTGGAAAGTCCATGGATATTCACTACTTTTGTTTGTTTGTTTGTGGGTGCTGTACAAGGCTAATTTGAGGGAGGCATCTCAATAATTTGCCCAGTGAATTTCAGGAACAACATGGAGAGAGCAGAAATAAAGCTGCAGGACAGTGGTCGTAAAAAAGACACCAGTTGTCAGTGAGATGCAAAATTAAACCACAAGGTAGGGTTGCCAACCCTTCAGGATAGTCCTGGAGTCTCCAGGAATTAAAGAGTAATCTTTCATTAAAGATTATGTTGTGTGATGAAACCTCCAGGAATACATCCAACCAAAATTGGCAACCCTACCACAAGGAGTTTAATCAGCCATGTCATCCAAACAACCCTTGGCCCAAGTCCTCATTCCTAGGATTGGAAGTACACTTTTGTAAGCTATAACAACATTCTACTATATACACTGGGGATATATATATATGTACAGTTTGTGTGTGTGTGCATATATATATATTTGTGTGTGTGTGTATATATACACACACATACAAATATATATATATATATATATACAGGTATATGAGTGCGTATATATATATATATTTTAAAAGGTGAACTCATTTTGATCTAGCTGAATGTAGAAAGTTTATATAGTTGATGTCAATGGGCATGTATTAGGCACGGTTTGTGTTACGCTGCGGAGGGGTAAATGTTGTTGTTTTTCAAGTCTCCGGAGGAACTGGCAATCCACTCCAAGTGGTATCTTGCAGGATTTTCACAATTTGACATACAGGTGACTGTGGATTATCTGTCCCACCTCCAGAGCCTTAGCAAAAAAGGAGGGAGTGAGTGTGTGTGTGTGTGTGAGAGAGAGAGGATGAGCATGCACACACACATAACCTGTTGTAATAACCACAACTGTCTTGAAATACATACGCTTTTACAGTAGGTTTCAAGTGCTGGGGAATTCCATCTGGATTGACCCCAACTCCCTTTGTTACATTGTAAGGCCTGAACCTACTCCCATTGCTGCCAATGGGAGTATAGCCACTGAATTCAGTGGGAGCAAGACTGGTCCCTAAACATGGTTTGTAATAGTGCGATGTCAGGCCCATATAATCTCATTGACCCAACTAAAGTCAATGGAGTTGCACAGGTCTAGGGACAGAGTTTGATCCATTCAGTCATGAACATTTCAAACAGAGACAATGTATTAAGTTGAAGCAAACACATGTAGATAGCAAATACATGGTAATATCTGGTAACAGATCAGAATTGGACCATTTTGTACACTGTAAATGAATAAATGACATCTGCATGGATTGCACTGAAGGAAGGGTAAGGGACATGTGAACCTCCAACAAGTCTGCTCAGGTGGGGTTTGAATTTGCTGCAGTTCACATGGAAATACCCATTGCACTACATTTTCAAAGGCACTCCCACTCCTGCCTCTAAATTTACTCCTGCAATTTCATATATGCAGTAGCTTGCATAACCCATAAAACAAATTTGCACCTGGCAATAACACATGCAGAATTCGGTATTTAGGGCTCAATCCTGCAACGGGCCCTTACAAAAAGGAAGTACCACAGCATGGTGCAGTAATCGTCCAAATGCTATGGCATGCAATAGTGATACGGCAGTAACTATTACTGTAGTAATCTGCAGTAACTTTTTATAAGGATGCTCATCATCTCCAGTACAGGAGCTAGGAGCACTCAGCACCTTGCTTGGTTTTGCTTTTAGATATCTATCTTCTTGATTTGAGTGTGCAAGTGCCATTTAAATTGTTTTTTAAAAATGCTCTATTTATGGAACTTCAAATTTATCACCCCCCCAAAGGTTGCATAAGTTCTTTTATAAAGACAAAGAGGAGAACGAATGACCGATGCGGCACCTGTCAACTCTGCCAATACAGTTGTAAGGGATGAGACATACCAATCAGAGACAAAAACCGAAGCCAGATGCATTTCTGAGTGCAGAAGGGAGCCAAAGACTCATTGGGAAGTGCAGTGTATTTCAGAAGTTCTAAATAGAGAAGTCTGTCCCAAAGGAAGTCAAAGGTTTATTCTGAAACTGGACTTTTTCTCTGCTTTACAAACCCTTGCTTTGACTGACAGAAACCAAATGGTCTTGTGTAAGACAAAAAATCATTTTGTAGAAACTGAGGCCACGGGTTATCATGAGGTAATGCAACATCGCAAAATACAGAGCAGGATCTGGTAGCTCTTACTCATGTGAGCAGGCCCATTGACTTTACTGGGACTACTCACCTGAATGAAGGCTGATGGGGTCCAGCCCAGAATTTGCCATCTTTAACTAAAGCCTATTATTTCTGTTGGCAATAGTGCCTGGCCTGAGATTTCACAGGACACTGTGGGTAGTTTTATACTGCAACTAGACACAGGCAGCTGGCCTGTGCCAACTGACTCGGGCTAAGGGCTTTTGGCTAAGGGGCTGTTTAACTGCAGTGAAGATGTTTGGGCTCAGTCTGCAGCCCAGTTCTGGGACCCTCTGCCCTTGCAGAGTCCTAGAGCCTGGGCTCCAGCCCAAGCCCAAACGTCTACACTGCAATTAAACAATCCCTTAGCCTGAGGCCCACGAGCCTGAGTCAGCCGGCATGGGCCAGCGGTAGGTTTTTAATTGCAGTGCAGACATACCATGTTTGACAAATGGGTATGAAATTAACTTGTGTTGCCACAGAACAGAGGAAACAGAATCAGAGAGAAAACTGTCTTTTGTAACTGAGAAGATTTTGTAAAGGTTGTTCAAGAATACAAACAGGGCATAATTGTGTGGGAGACTCCCCATGGTTCTGGCTCTGGAGCTACAATACTGTACTGCTAGCAGCACCTCTGGAAAGCACATACGGTGCCTTCTACCGCAGGGTTTCCTCTGAACAAAGAACATGCAGTGAAATTGCATTTTTCAACGTGTCCATCTACTGACCGGTAACAAACATATTCCTGATGCACAATTCAATGGACTCCTTTGCTAAAACAGAATCTTAAAAAGATGACGTGGTTTTGCAATTTAAATTATTTTAAGGAGAAAAAGCCATTGACAAATAGCTTCCAAACTGGCATGCAGCAAACAAATGAGCCCCCTGTAGTAGAATGGAATACAATACCGCAATTACTCGAATGAATAGCGCTTACACATGTGAGCAGCCCCAGCGGGGTAGACCCTGGGAGATGCCAAGTACCTGAAACTATCTACGAAATTCACATGTTGCAGAAGCCCACAAGACCTGTGCAACGTGGCGAAGTGGATAGAACACTTGACTGGGACTCTGGACTTCCCAAATCTGCTACTGGCCAGCTGGATGACCTGGGGCAAGTCACCCTATCTGTGCCTCAGTTTCCCCATTTCTAAAAGGGGGATGATAATGATACTCACCTCCATTGAAAAGTACTTGGAGATCTACTGATGCAAAGCATTGTATAAGAAGTAGATATTATTTAAGTCCAATTTAAGACCTATTTTGAGGGCTTAAGTAATGCACAGATTGTGTGCTGGTCCTTACTATTTTTTTGTATTACAGTAGCATGTGGAGTCCCCAGCCAAGATCATGGCCCTACTATGTTGGCACTAGACAAAAACATCGTAAGAGATATTCCTTCCAACTGAGATAGACAAGATAAACGAAGGGGAATGGAAACAGAGGCATGACATTAGTTGTCCAAGTCATATTGCAGGTCAGTGGTAGAGTGGGGAATAGAACTCAAATTTTCTGATTCCCACTCCCGTGCCCCAGCCATTAGATAATGCTGCCTTTCTGCCCCCCCCCGAAAGGGGTGAATTTAACTCTCCCTGTGAGTTGCAGGTGTTCAGCACTTCTCAAGGTTTGGCCAAATGAATAGGACTACATGTGTGAGTAAGAGCCTTATTCAGGTAAGCAGATATGTCTACACGGCACACTCACTGGGGCATGTAGTGACATGCCTTAGTGAAAAGCAGACTGCATCCACACTACAGTTAGCTAGCCTGATGCCTCCTCCTGCATGAGCCTTCCCTCGCTGCTGGAGTCTTTCTCTGGGGTGGGGAAAGGCTCCAATAGCTCTCTGCTGTCAGAGCTTCTCCTCACCACAGGGAGCTGCAGGAGCCTGTTCCCACTGCCTCTCCCCTGACAGAGCCTTTCCTGCCTGCAGCAGGGAAAGACTCTGCAGCAGGATGGCAGCAGGACACTACAGTGCTAAAAATAGGAGTGTAAATGGGGAGACACTGCCTGGGTGTGTAGAGATCCTTGTAGGGTATGTACGCTAAAGTTCTGGCATATCTTTACTCGCCTAAGCAATGCCTCACTTACACTGCTATTGACCCTGCACCGGGGCGCATGCAGTCATGTATGTTCACTGCACACCGCTGTAAAGAGCGTGCAGTGTAGACATTCCCTAAGGGTAGTAAGATCAGGTCCTGTGCATTGTAACAGGGAGATAAGTGTTGCATTGAAAGGCAAACTACTTCTACCGGTCCTTAATTGTGACAAATGACAAGTGATACATTTGTCCTGTGCCTAGTAAAGATGCTTTTGCCCAACTATTACCTATTTTTGGTTCATGCACCATTTGTCAGGAAGCCCGCTGACAAAATCACTTTGACAAACAAAACCGAAATATTCGTAACTGTTTCACATGTTCATTAGCATACAATTTTAGACAAGCTTGGAAATCAGTGTTCTGTGGGATCAGATAACATAGGCATTCTTCCCTCTCCCCCTCCCCCCGACACATTATTTCTTTCTTCAGCCCCATTCCAGTGATCCTAGATACGTTAGGAGTAATTGTGAAATCAAGTGTGGTCGTTTCTTCAGTGTGTCAGTCTTTAAAATGTATGAAAAGTATCTAACAATGTACGTGCTGTTCTTTATGGAGCGATCAATAAGAAAGATAAGGCTACAGCATTGTCAGAAATCCTCATCAGGTCCATCACCCACATTCTTCCCTTCGTCTGCCCTGCTAGCTGGTGGTATGTTAACATCCCCACCACGTACGACATGACGCCCAGTTCCGCCCATCATGAAACAAAACAGAGTATGTTTTTCTTTTTGTTCACATTGCAGCTGTCATTGTTCCTGAGTTTAAACCAAAAAGAGAAAGAGAGTCCCTGTTGTAAGGAAGCCGGATGATTCAAATTGAATATTTTATTGTCAATATCCCCTCACAGTTTTCAAAAGCATTTCTCCTGCTCTGTCCCTTTAATATTGATTTATTTTCCATGGGGTGTCATTGTTACATTTAATATCCCCCTGCACAGCAGGGATAGATTGTTCTGTTGTAACTTTGGTTCCATGCCCAATGCCCATTTGTACTTCATCTGCTGATTCTGTTTAAAATTTTTTTAATATGTTCACAGTTTGTTTCTCCCCCCTCTCTTTTTTCTTAGTTTGACATATAGAACTTCATTAAATGCAGCATATATTGTAGCTTTAGACAGGGACTGTCAAGTAACAAATCTTGAATAATGGCTTTAAAATACATGGTGGTTGTAGTCTTGGCTACAGCTTGTATTTTTAAATCGGTGTAAACAATGTTCTCTTCTTCATAGGTTTGGAAGCATTTGCCTTTCTAAGGACTTATCTGTGTCGTCTGGCGCTCTACAAAATAGAAAAGAAAAACATCTGTATTAGCTAAATGGAGAGATTGCATCTATCTGTCCATCACTCCCTCCCTCCCACCCACGCACAGGGTTTTGGAGATTTTCCATTGCTGGAAAGGATTTAGTCAGGAATCTAACACATGGTATTCCTCAACACAGCAAGCTATATCCCTCTGCTACCACAGGCCAAGGATTTAGAACCCAAATTCTACACCCTAGAAGTCAATGGGAATGTTGCAATTGATTTCAGTGGAGTAAGGCTTAAGCCAGGCCACTCGACCAGAGCTGTCTAAAACTTCTACGAGGAGAGAGAAATGAAAGCAGGTGGAACTGACCTGGTTAAAGGACAAGCCCCAAGCCCTTTGTTCATGAAACTTTGAAGTGAACTTGGACTGTGTTTTGGATGAACCAGGACCAAGTTTGGGGCTAAGTTTTGAGTCCATCCACCCTGCTTATTACTGATGGGGAAGGATTATGGGCTTTGCTTAAACCAGGAAAAAACTTGGCATTTTTCTTCTGAGTTTTGCTTTGGGGTTTCAGGTCTATTTAAATTCTGAAACAAATTCACAGGGTGCAAAATCCAGGCAAACCGAATGTCCTTGCACATACACATCTTTTCCTCCCAAACCCTCTCAACTAGGGGAATCTCATATCAACAGACTCCCGAGAGTTTTGCACAAATGGATTCTACAGTTTTTCACCCATTCAAGCACTTTATTTACTTCCTTTGTAACCCTGTCTCCATCGTTCCTGAAAGCAACAGCTGTGATAGCTATACTGACCCTAGGAGGCCATGAATCGTCATCTGAAATTTCAGCTCTGTATGCCCCCAGCTGCTTAAGGGAAGAGGAGAGGATAAACTGTAAAGAGAGGTATGGAAAAAGTACTCTTTTTGAACATAAAATGGGTCTCCAGCTACACTTCAAGGAAGATTTACAAATGGATCTATTTAAAGTCTAAAAATTACAGCATCTAAGAAAACTGGCATCCAGGAGTACTATGGCAATTGGCAAAGACACTGATCCATTTGCTTCCTGTGCTTCCCCCACCAAATTATAAGAACCATAAAATGTTGATGTCATATGACTTTTTTTTAGGACACTACTTTGGGACTCCTTACTCAAATGACCCCAAATTTGCACCACTAACCCTACCCTAAGCCCCGATGAGGCAATACAAATTTCAAGGCAATCTGGGTGTGCACGTGGATGTTAGAGCACTTTGAAAACCAGCTGTTAAATAGTATGCTAGACTGAACTATAGAGATGCTACCATCCGATGCTAATGCAGAGTCGTTTGGCAATGCCTCTCTCAAGGCTACCTATACCTCTCCCAAAATGTTCATGTGCTACTTCCCCTGCTTGCAGTAAGGAATGAGCACATCAGGGTGGGGGAGGTAGATGAGTTGGTGCAAATTGCACCCGTGGGATTTAGACAGAATTGGAAGATGCCTTTTCATTATGTTCTGCATTTATATCCCTGTGTACTTTTGTAATTTTTCCATTGTCATGGCAGATTTTCTGTTCTCTACACAGATTTAGCTGTAAAATTCACTTCGCCCGCCTTTCTGCTGATCTGAATCCCCCTCCTTGCTCATAGGAAGGCAGGCAGGCAGGGCATGGGTCTGAGATCCTAATTTTCTGCATGAAAAACAACAAATGAACGAGTCTCTTCTTTGGATGGAACTTCAGCTATCTGACAGGATAGCTTAGAAATGCCAGATTCTGCCAGCTAGACATAGTTCCTGTAACTACACTCAGGCACAGAGAGGAGCAACAGAAGGAAGACGTGAGCATAGATATCTAATCATATTAGACAATCTAGCACGTACCTTTGAGCATCTGGGCCTGAATGACTACCTAGACTTTTATGGTTCCCTAAGGCAGGGAAATGTAAGCCTGATTCTCATATCGCAGCCTTGTAAATCAGGAGTAACTCCACTGGGCAAAATTCTGCTGTAGTTACACTGGTGTTATACATCGAGTAACTCTGATTATCTCAATAAAGTTACTGTTGATTTACACCAGTGTAAATAAGAGCTGAATTTGGCCTTGTTGTAAAATCAGTTAAAGGGTATGGGAAGAGATGTGTTGGGATAGAGGTGGGTGGATCCTGATCCAGTGGAATGGTTCCTAGGTAATTGTTCCAGCCACTATAAATTAGATTGGCCTTAACGCTGCTCTGATTTACACTGGGTGCCTACTATAATGCCAGCCAATCCATTAGATTGGGGGAAGCATAAAAATGGTTTAGAGTCACCCTTGACTGTCCCCTGGCTCTGTGAGTTCAGTACAGCTGAGAATTCAAGCCTGAGTCTAGCAGACATTCCATTATGTCCTAGCAATCTGAGATGGGTCACTTAAAGGTTAAAGGACGACTGTGTGCAAATGAACAGAAGTGATAATCTTCTGCATGGTCTTTACTGGTCTGTTAATGAGGAGCTCCAACCTGAAGCACCCTCATCAGCTTTCTCTAGCCAGACATTACCTGGATGGACAAGCTCTCCAAATAGGTCACTCTGGCAATTACCGAATATGGTGGTTACAATATACTCAGCTTTGCTTCTGATTTTTTCTTCCCATGTGACTGTGCTTTCATCTCCTGCTCTAAAGCAGAGGGAGGAGGTGGCACGTCTGGGAGCAGGAATTCAGACTGACTTTCAGTATGTTTTGGAAATAATTAGGAGACTGTAATTTGAAAGTCACCATGTAACCCAGGCATACAAATTCTCCCTGAAGAGTTTCTTCTGGCAGGCAGCCACTCAGTGTTAAAGGGCATGTTTAAAATATTTCCACAGGCTCTCAGACAATAAGGAGTCAGGAATCTCATTTAGAAACTGTAGGCAGTTTTCTAATTTAGGGAATGTGTATTTCTAAAGATGCTGGCTTACACCTATGGCTCCTGAAAAGCCCTTCTCTGAAACTCTAATTCTGTGGCTTTTCCGTCTTATTTCTGTACCTGAAAATCCCCCTTTCCTTCCTCTCTGGCACTCTAATAATATGCATAAATTCTCATCAAATATTCATGAACCAGTCTAAGCTGGGACCTGGAATTTTCCTGTGCTAATTGAAATGAAAATTTTCAACCAGCTCTTCATGTTTTTTGAATGAAAAAATGGCTTTTTTGGGGTAAATGTTGAAATTTCTGTCAGCCATTTTGATGACATTTGGGGGGTTTTGTTGAAAAAATGAAACATTTTGGCTTAACATTTTTGGATTTTTTTTCTTCAAAAACCTGAAAACTTTTGAACAAAAATTTCAGTGCAAATGAAAACTTTTTGATTTTTATTGAAAATGTTGCCGACAAAAAGTACATTTCCTGATCAGGGCTAATACTGGTGCAAAATGCAATTAGGTGCACCACACTACAAGTCTCTACAGTGTCAAGGCATATTGTGTACAGAATAGAAAGGGAGAAAAAGTTGATCATAGCTATGTACTCTCATGGACACATTTATAAACACAGTTACCTGAACTGAGCCCCTGAAGTAGACTTTATGTGGTACATTTGCAAAAACTAATACCAAGTTTTCTTTCTCCTGGGTGCAATTTGCATTGGTAAAATTAGAGTGCTGGTGTCTCTAACTCCTGCTTTAATCCCACAATGGGGGGGAGGGATAGCTCAGTGGTTTGAGCATTGGCCTGCTAAACCCAGGGTTGTGAGTTCAATCCTTGAGGGGGCCATTTAGGGATCTAGGACAAAAATTGGGGATTAGTCCTGCTTTGAGCAGGGGGTTGGACTAGATGACCTCCTGAAGTCCCTTCCAACTGTGATATTCTATGAATGGTGTATCTGGAGGTGCAAATACTGAGATTTGTATCCATAGCTGAAGTGAATTGTGCCCAGAGGAGCAGAAAATGCAGGTGCAAGTTTTGAGGAAGCAAATTGCGCTTGCACAAAAAGAATCGTAGGATTGGAAGGGACCTAGAGAGGTCATCTAGTCCAGTTGCCTGCACTTAAGGCAGGACTAAGTATTATTTAGACCAGTGGCTCTCAACCTTTCCAGACTATTGTACCCCTTTCAGGAGTCTGATTTATCATGTGTACAGCCAAGTTTCACCTCACTTAAAAACTACTTGCTTACAAACTCAAACATAAAAATACAAAAGTGTCACTGCACACTACTACTGAAAAAAATGATTACTGTCTAATTTTTACCATATAATTATAAAATAAATCAATTGAATATAAATATTGTACTTACATTTCAGTGTATAGTTAGTATACAGAGCAGTATAAACGAGCCATTGTCAGTATGAAATTTTAGTTTGTACTGACTTCGCTAGTGCTTTTTATGTAGCCTGTTGTAAAACTAGGCAAATATCTAGCTGAGCTGATGTATCCCCTAGAAGACCGCTGTGTACCCCCAGGGTCTAACTTGCTCTTAAAAATCTCCAGTGACAGAGACTCCACAACCTCCCTGGGCAATTTATTCCAGTGCTTAACTACCCTGACAGTTAGGAAGTTTTTCCTAATGTTCAACCTAAACCACCTTTGCTGCAATTTAAGCCCATTGCTTCTTGCCCTATCCTCAGAGGTTAACAAGAATAATTTTTCTCCATCTTCTTTGTAACAACCTTGTATGTACTTGAAAACTGTTATCATGTTCCCTTAGTCTTTTCTTCTCCAGACTAAACAAACCCAATTTTTTTCAATCTTCCCTCATAGGTCATGTTTTCTAGACCTTTTAATAATTTTTGTTGCTCATCCCTGGACTTTCTCCAATTTGTCCACATCTTTTCTGAAATGTGGTGCCCAGAACTGGACATAATACTCCAGTTGAGGCATAATTAGCGCAGAGTAGAGCAGAAGAATTACTTCTCCTGTCTTGCTTACATCACTCCTGCTAATGCATCCCAGAATATTTGCTTTTTTTTGCAATAGTGTTACACTGTTGACTCATATTTAGCTTATGATTCACAATGATTCCCGGATCCCTTTCCACAGCACTCCTTCCTAGGGAGTCATTTTCCCGTTTTGCATGTGTGCAACTGATTGTTCCTTCTTAGTGGAGTACTTTGTATTTGTCCTTATTGAATTTCATCCTATTTACTTGAGACCATTTCTCCAGTTTATCCAGATCATTTTGAATTTTAATCCTATCCTCCAAAGCACTTGCAACCCCTCCCAGCTTGGTATCATCTGCAAACTTTATAAGTGTACTCTCTATACTATTATCTAAGTCATTGATGAAGATATTGAACACAACCGGACCCAGAACTGATCCCTGAGGGACCCCACTCGACATGCCCTTCCAGCTTGACTGTGAATAACCTCAAAACATGTCCCAGCTGCTGTGCTGGGTCATCTTTCAGAAGTCCTGTGTCAGGAACTTCTAGTCAGTGGCTGGGATACCACAATGCAATCCCCTAAAAAACTGTTTGCTAGAGCCAGGAAATATATTTAAAATGTTGGTAACTCCAAAATGGGACAGTCTATTTGGAACTGTTTGGAAGAGCCAGGGGTATAGACCTATCAAAAAACATACTGTGGATTGGGATGTGCCCTGAAGATCACCCAATTTGGGTTCTGCCTGGCCAGTGGAAAGGGAATCCCAGTCAATGTGGCTCCTTGTGTGAGTTAGCACTCCTCACATGAGCAAGGAATTGCAGGAACAGGACTATTCTCTTGAGCTTCTCAGTTGATCTCAGCTGCTAGGGCTGAGCGTGAGGCTTCTCTCAGCTACACAGAGGTTGAGAGAGGCTTTTCTCAGACACACAGGATTCAAGGCATAAAGGGCTTATAAGTTATAACCAACATCTTGAATTGCACCTGAAATGAACTATGTAAGGCAGTGCGAAATGGGGAAATATGTTCCCTGTGCAGCCCCACTTTGAATTTCTTCAGGTGGTGTCCTGAACATTGCATTGCAGTAATCCAGTCTGGAGGCAACAAAGACATGGAGAGCAACCAAACATGATAGCTGCTTGATAGTCCTGTACCTTAAGCACAAGACTGCCATCCTTCCTTCTGTGATCTGGAGACCGTTAAGTTTAAAAACTCAAGGCAGACCCTCAGCTAGTGTAAACTGACATAACACCAATGAAGTCAGTGTACCCAGATCAACTTATACCAACTGAGGATGTGGCCTTCATTTCATAAGAATCTATGGGACAAACACTAGTTTCATGGAAATATGTGAAGCGGCCTTACCTTTCCAAGAGGCACATTGACATCAAGGCCAAAGAATAAAGGCAAGAGAGAAGAACAAGAATAGAAACAGAAACTGCAGAAGAAAAAAGAAGATTATGTAAAAAAAAAATCTTGCTGTACTGTCTTACGGGTCAGAGCTAGTTCTCTTTGCAATTCATATGACAATGATAAACTCAGTTTAGCATGAGACCTGAAATAATTACGCATGCAGAAAACATGTTTTCCAGTTGTGTCTGCAAATACCAACCCCTCTTCCTGGTGTGAAAAAACTAGACTGTATCATTTTTTTTTTAACTCATCAGCAAAATGAATGCATCCAACACCACATGGTAACACTGGGCCAGATCTTCTGCTGGTGTAAATCAATGTAGAGTCGCTGAAGTCACAAACTGGTGCTGATTTATACCAACTGAGCATCTGGCATCTGGTTTCTAAAATGGTGCCCACTATCCATACTAGTAAACATGCTAAGATCATGGAACATGATGTAACACTGACCTTAATCAGACATGTCCCTCATACTGAACTATTAATAACTGACTCTTGGATCTCTTCCATCATGATCCTTGCTCTTCTAGTGGGAGGAGAATTTTTGTGGTTTGAAAATGTGGCCATCCAATGTCTTCCATCACAATTCTCCATTGAACCATGTCACAAATTTTGTTTTGTTTTTTAAATCAAAGGTTACAACGTAATACACTCCCAATTTTTGATCCATTTTCTGCTTGTGAATGTATTATATACTCTTGCACATGCCCTTGATTTCTATTGAACATCACTGAAACTTTGGCAGCAAAGTGGAAAAAGAAGAATGTGTGTAGCTAAGGGTTAAAATATATGTTTATTCTATTATTAATCGGATTACTGTTAGACTAGATGTTTTTTGGTGAAGAACTGGCTACTGTCACAGTTTCAATGCCCCTGAGATTTTTTCTTTATTATGCTTTGTTTTGCTTGTTAAGTAAATTGGTTATGTTCCTTTAGACATAGTTTAAAGGAAGTTGTGAAGGCAAAAATGAGCATTCAGATCCACAAAAGACTTTATTTAATCATCAGGCACAGGAGGTGGGATCATCTTCTAGCCGTTTAGCAACTTTTGAATTAGTTGGCTGCCTACTGCATTTTGGGTCTCAGTTGCTTTGACTGCAGTGAGCCTGTGATTAGGCCCATTGCATTTCACTTCAGGAATGTATAAACAAAGTCAATAAGCAAAAAATCTTCAGTTTCTTTTGATGTCACAGTTCAGTAATGGGGCAGGATTCTGGTACCCTTAGTCACATTGTGTTGTATCTTACTCTAGTCCCCACTGGTTTCAACATGGGTAATGGTATCAGAATCTGGCCCTAAACTTGTATGACTGAGGGGCACAATCTGGAAATCTTAACTCAGTTTCATTCAATTCTTAATGGCAAAACTCACCTTGGTTTCAACGGGAGTTTTGCCTGCATATAAAGAGTCTTGGGTAATGACTGAGTAAGGACCTCAGCATTTGCCTCAACATAATTTGCTACATAATCATATTTTAAATAAGATGTTTATAATTTTATAGAAAAATATTGTTTCCTAAAGGGAATAGAGAGTTTGCAGGAAGGGGAAAAACAGATCTGAGATTGTCTAGATATAATGAAAGACATAAAATGGAAAGAAAATGAAGTGGAAAGAGAGACACTAACATAGTTCAGTTAGGTCAGCAAATACTTTTATGATTTTTAGTCTAAAAAAATTGTCTCAGACCCAATAAAGCTGATCTGATTCTTTTAAAATCTGTAAAACAACCAACCTTTTCCTCTAGGTCCTTGATCTGTCTCTTCTGGACATCAGTTTTATCTTCTAAATCTCGGATCCTCTAGAAATAAAAAGCAAACAAACCAACTCCAGACTCTGAATGCACAGACGAGAAAATGTTAACTGTTTTGCTCAGCTGAACAAATCACCCAGCTGGGGCAAATTTTAAAGATCCTGGAAATGAACAACTAAGAAATCCAGCCAGTTCTGCATTGGCATAAAATCCTTTGTCACCACTATTCCTCCTCTGCCACCCCTTGATTTGCCATGTCCACATCAGAGCACACTGATCTCTGAAAATGAAAGGCGTTAAATGCAATGATTATGTCCCAGAGAGATTAATTAGCAACTGCCCACTTTGGGAGCGGAGGAACAGAAGAGATTAGAAAGAAAATCCCATTCACCACCTATTTGAAGAATGTCATCAAACTGCTGGAACAATTTTTATTGTGGGGGGACTGAGAACCATTGAACCAAACTGTAACCCCCGTATATAATGGAAACCACTTCAACCAGGGAGTGTGACCCCTAGTTCCAGCATTTATGCAAGTCGGTCTTATCTGTGCACTGTTCATAGCTGACACTGATACTGTTACGTATCGTAGGATACTCTTTAAAATCACTTTTGATTTTAAGGCCAGAAGGGGCCATTAGATCATCAGTCTGACCTTCATAACAGAGAATTTCATCCAGTCACTCCTGCACTGAGCCCAATAACTTATGTTTGAGATTTGTGCTATGAGGCTAGATTCATGAAACAGTAAATCGGAAGAGAGAGTTGTTAGGTTTTGAACTTTAAGAGGCAAAATATTCCCACAGCCTCCATAAAGAAGATAGTGAAACCTGCATTTGCATGCATAGCGCAGGTATTTATATGCCCTAGACAACTCAGCAGTGAAAACCAGGCCAACTGAACCAGGATCTCTCATAAACTAGGGAGAAACATTAGACCATAATCTGAATTCTTACACAGCAAAACAATATGGATGTATTTGTTCTAAGATCTTGGTCCTTGTGCACTACCTGATGTGCCTGCTGTAGCAGCTCCATCCTCTCTTGAAGAATCTGGCAGTCGTATTCTCTGCTTTTCCTCAGCATCTGCCGTCTTAACTTTTCTACAGCTGTCCTCAGCTCCTCCTGTTGCTTTTCACTTAGCAGTTCCCCAAACTTTATCACCGTTTCTTGCTGCAAAGCATTGTACAAGGTAGCTTCAAGCTCCTGGATTCTCTAGTTGATGGAACACCAAAAGTTGGTTAGAGATGGAACATGGTACTAAATATAGCTGGGATTTTTTCTGGTCATAGATTCAGGTGTCTACATACATACAAGAAGCTTCCTAGGTATACGTGTGTGCAAGATTAAAAAGCAGAGCTGGTCAAAAATGTTTCAGTGTTTTGGCAAAAAATGTCCATTGAATGTTTTCATTGAAATTCATAATTGTGAAATGTTTCAAACCGCTATGGTGCTGGTCAAAACTGGGATGGAATTTTCATGAGCATTTTCACCAGTTTTTTCTAAAATCACAAATCAAAATACTGAGGAAAATTTCATTGACATTTACATTTTGAATTGTTTTGACCATCTCTGTTAAAAAGGAATAAGGGTGAAAGATCAGCATGCCAGGATACAGATTTCTCTCTTGAGTCTTAGTCTTGGTAATACATGAACATGTTCATTAATGCAGGGTTGGGTAGCTCATCACTTTATCCTTTCCTCTCATACACGAAACACTTCAAAGCTGCACTCAGCAGGTATAAACCCTGTATACAACAGATTTTGCTGGGCTGGTATTTTCCAATAAAATCGGTTGCAATTTGGTATACTATCTTCTCACTATGACAGGGGTGGCCAAACTTACTGACCCTCCAAGCTGCATATGACAATCTTCAGAAGTCCGAGACCTAGGTGCACCTGCCAGGGCTCAGGGCTTCAGCCCTGCTCCTGCTGAAACCCTGAGACCCCCCTTCCCCTACCTCACCATCCCACTGCAAGGCAGCGATCCCGAGCTCCCGCCCAGTCTGGTAGATGGAGAATGGGGACGTAGGGGGCTACGCGAACCACATTTTAACTGTAAAAGAGCTGCATGTGGCTCGCGAACCGCAGTTTGGCCACCCCTGCACTCTGACAAGGAGATATTTAAATATTCCTGCACATGTCTAGTTCTGGTTGTTTGCAAGACTCCAACTGGGCAAGGTGACTCTAATGAAGGACATCTACTGTTAACTAGGAAGAGTTTCTACTTTAGAGTATCCAGCTTCTCATGATGTGAAGAGGCCAAGTACCATGTTGAGGCTGTGCAGACTGCAAGGTGGTGGTTTAGCAGCATGGAGAAATGCAGATATGAAAAAGTTAGGAAGGATGTGCAAAACCCTCTCTCCCCCCAGAATCTGTGTCGTGTTATGGTGTGTGCTGTAGCATTTTCCTTGTACATACCATGTATGCCTGGTCAAGAGCTTGCTTCCTGTAGTCTAATTCTTCCTCCAAATAACCTTTTATTTTGCAAAACTGCTCCTACAATGAACAACAATTTTGACAGAAAAAATGAATTTGTTAGTTGACATGCCATGGAAAGTATTATTTGATCAACCACAGATGTCTGATGGGAGCAAGAATTTATGAGATCTGTCAGTAATGGAGACTTTGCATGGTTGTTAATATCAGATTACTATCTAGCAAAGTCTGAAGGAAAAACAATTATGTTTGCTTTGGTAAGGTAATAGAGTAGAAATGTGCTCTGGTCTATACTGGAGTAACTCCAGAATGACTTTGTTGTCTTCTGTGGAATTGCTCAGAATTAGACCAGTGTTACTAAGAGCACAATTTGAACCATTATGATTACTTTACAGTCCATGTAAACTTGTTCATCTTTTAGGTATATTACTTCCTCCAGTTAAGGAGACTAAGAGAGAAGCCAAATCCTGACCTTGCTGTAGTTATACTAAGCACAATTCAGCTATGAACGCCTTGCCTTTAAAATATTAAGGATTTAAAGCAGGAGTAGTCAAGAGGCAGACCGTGGGCCAAATCTGGGTCACCAGATGCTTTTGAACATACCTCAAAATCTTTTTATTTACTTATTATTATTATTATTTATTATGTATTTTTTTCTCTAGAGTCTGGACCTTGTCTATACCTTGACCAAGAAATTTGGACCTTTGCAAAAAACAATTGATAACCCTTGATTTAAAGTGTGTTTAAACAACATAGTGTTACAATTCAGGGTTTTTTTTTCTACTTAAATTTCTCAGTGCCAGTTGATACATGCCATGTATTTGTCTGTAAACGCTGTGAGGCAAGAATCATGACTATTTACCTGCCTGAAAAGCACCCAGCAAACTCTGGGCCCTATATCCATAATAATATCCAATTAGCACCATGTAAAGGTGAAAAAAAGACAGGATCAGAGATGAACATTGATAGCATTTAATCATGAAAAATCCCACTTCACGCTCTCACAATTATTAAATGCAAAGAAAATTAATAACAATGTTATGGATTCACCACTGATCAAGAAGATATAATTCATTTTATTTGCTAAAAGATTATTTTTTCTGACTCTCTGAGACATCAAATATTTTGAAATATTCAGTGGTTTGTTATAGATACATATCAAAAACGTTTGCCTACCATGTCACTTTCCAGTTCCATCATCTTCTGGTGTAGAGCTGCTTCAGCACCTTCAATCTGCTGGATCCACTAGAGGGTGCAAAACACAGAGCTGTAACCCACAGCACTTGCAACTAAAGTGCCCAGTGACAAACAGGACCCCGCCAAAATGCTTCCCCTCTATTTTGCCTGACTTCAGTAACCAGAAGGCCAGAGCCCCTTACTAAGGGTGTGGCACAAAATAGCTTTACAGATGGCTTTGACAGCTACTTGGAAATTCCATAGGCATAGGGGGAACCCCTGAGTGGCATAGAGCTGGCTATGCTCGAATTATGCCACTCTCTCCTTTGTCACCCCTTTTATCTGAGCTGCAAAAACAAATCAGTTTAAACAGAAATATTTCAGATGAGATTTTTCAGAACCAAGTAGGAGGTTTTGACACACAGTTCCTATTTACTTCAATGGGAATTGTGAGTCTATATTCCTTAGGTGGCTTAGAGAATCCCAGCCTTCCAGTCCATTGCTAGTTTGACCATATATGGTTGATGGCTTTGCATAACTTTCCTCTATAAAGTTTACAGTCACTACTTACATTTAGTGTGGAAGCTGCATTTGTTACAGATCTAAATTCATAGCTTAGGATAGAGATAGACTAGAAACTTCTTCAGGTATGGTAATGTCAGTGAGGGTGTGATTCTTTTATACCAGTTCTATACAGGCACCTTTTCTAGTGTGGATGCAATTATACCCGCAATAAAGTGCATTTGTTGGGCAGCTTATTGGCTTTGGGGAAACAGTATAAGCTATGCCAGCAAAAGTATTCCAGCAAGCCTTTTTTACTGTAGAATAGGCCTTAAATAGTGCATACACTTGAGAGACAAGCACCACAGAAATTGTACCTTTTCTGCCAAGGATAACACAGTGCTAGCTTGAATTATAGCCACTTGCTCTTCATTTCTTAAATTCTGTAAAGTGAAAAAGAAGAAAACCAAGCTAAGGAAGGGATAGCAGTTTTCTAAAAGCATATTTATATTGTTAGAAGAAAATCCACATTCTGTTCTCACTTTCCACAGTTTGCATGGAACTCTGTCGTGTACTGCACAGAGCATTACACAAACAAACAAACACATTAACAGGTGTCAATAAATACAGAGTATACAGACTATTGGTTATTTATAGCTAGGCTCTTCAAAGGAACCTGACCAAGTGAGGTGTCCAAATCCCATGTAAATTCAATAGGAGCTGGGTGTCTAGCTCCCTAAGGACCCTTTGAAAATTCTATCCTACCTTGGGAAAGGTGACGACTCTTATCTTTCTGCATAATGCTAACCTGTGCAGACTGACTGGACATTCCAATCCAAAGGTATGTGATGTGAAATGCAGAATAAAACTAGACTCCTTATTAACAGGATGGGCTGATTCTCCCCTCAGTTACATTGGTTAATTTACACTGGTGTAACTTCATTGGAATTAGTGGATTTACTTCTGATTTACACCAGCATGAGTGAGGTCCACAGCTGAGTAGGTACTGATATTGCTTTCATTTGAATTTCCTATACAGTTTCTTAAAGTGAATTTAGTGCTGTCAAAAGGGGCTAGTTTGACAGTCCTGGGAATTGACGTCTGTTTATCCATATGGCAGGGACTAAATAGGCAGCAGCACTGTGATCCTCCTTTACAAAGCCCTTTGAAAACACCCTCCTCCATGTTCTGACAGGCTCAGGGTCCATGGTATAATGTATATTCCTGCCCATTTAATTCCTGGTCTGTCTCCTGAAGTTGCCAGTAGGGGTACCATAAGGCTAATTGAGATGTGGTCAGCTCAGACCACCAATTCAATTCACACAGGCTACCAAATGACTATCAAATACCAATAACAGTTAGACTGGAGCTATATTCAGTTTGGTGACTCAGAGATTAAAGGCTCAATATCCAATTACCGATACCCAGATGCCCCAGCTCCCCCAAATCCTTAACTGCTGGAAATTAACTAACAAGACCCTTTATTAGAATGATCCTTATAACCTGACTCTTTAACACATAATCTTACGGTAAATATACTGTCATACTTTTCTCCAATTTTACTGGTGCTACTTTACAGCCTACCAGGAAAGCTAGCCAGGACTCTGACTTACCCCGTTGTCACCCAAGATGTCTAACTGCTTTATGAGGTCTGGAATGCTGACATCCTACAACACAGAATAACATAAAGGTGTCAGATGCATGTTTAATCATGGTGGTGGTATCTGGCCCCTGGGAACAGGACCGAGATCAACAAAACATTTTGTAATAGCAAATAGTCAGCCACGAGATAGTAATGATTTTCAGACACTGCTGATTTCAGCTGACTCTGAACCAGTGATTACCAATATGGGTCTGGATCCTATTCCCCTTGAGCCATCTTGAACTCTTAGGGCGTGTCTACATGGGGACATCCAGGAAAACTAATCCAAATTGATGAAAAGTGTGACTTTGAAGTGGATTAGTTAAAACCCCTGTGTGAACACCGTCATTCAGAATTAAGTGAATTAAGATAGACCATAATAAATTAAAGGACACTTTAATTCTGAATAATAGCATCCACAGAGGGATTTAATGTAGTTTAACTAACCCACTTCAAAGTCACATCTTTAATTAATTTTCCTGGATGTGTCTGTGTAGACAAGCTCTTACTTAATACTCAGGCCACATGGTTAAAGTTTGGCAAAGTAATAAACAACAGAAAACAGGGTCTCATAATGGGAAATGCTGGGCAACCTTAGTTAAAGGTGGAGCTGAAAGCTCTGCCTATAGTAATGTTAACATACCTTGACACCTTCCTTCATACAGTAGATCTGCAGAGCGCTTACACCATCTGAGAATGGGTGGATTTGGAGATTAAATGGTGGGGACCGTCTTTCTCTTTCCTTTAAACATATTGGAAATGCACAGGAGAATGTTTTAGAATGAATAAGCTATGTAGAACATCGAGTGATCAGATAACACATTCACTGTCTGGTTTATCATGCCTTGCAGTGTGTCAATTCTTTACCTCATAAAAAAGTCAAAAATAATTGCATTATAATTTAGCTAAGGCTGAAAAAAATGCAGTGTGCTAAGTGGTATGGGATTCCAGTCCCAGGCAAATATTTGGCAGCAAATAATGTATTTGATGGATTTTGTCTCTTTTGTCTGATTTCAAATTGCCTGGGAGCAGCTCATTATCTCATTAGATTTATTTGTAATCCAAAATTATTTGCCAAATAATGGTGGTGAATAATTCTTGGTCTATAGGTTCTGAAAATATTCAAAATTCAAGCGGTGCTGATTAATTTGGTTGGACATGTGATCCCAGGCTATGTTGCTAACCCCTGATTAGATGAGTGGAACTCTTAGGGTATGTTTACACTGCAGCTGGAAGGGCGCTTCCCAGCATGGCTAAACAGACATGCGCTAGCTCTGCTCAAGCTAGCGTGTTAAAACCAGCAGTGTTCTCCCGGTAGCCCAGACAGCAGCTGGGGTGAGCTGTCCAAGTACAAACACACTGAACCCCTTGGGTACGTACTCAGGTGACTGGCCTGAGTCACCCCCGATTCTGCAGTGGCTGTATTGCTATTTTTAGTGAGTGAGTTTGAGTAGAGCCGGTGCATGTCTGTCTACCCATGTTGGGAAGAACCCTCCCAGCTGTTGTGTAGACATAGCCCTAGAATCAGGTTTCTGGTGAGAATACTCACATTAAAACTCCATTACTTTGTTAAAATTTGCTGTTCCTGCAAATATTCCTCCCTGCAAACTCATTCCCTATAATGTTTGTGGAAAGTAATTTCAAAGTAAGCATGAACACAACAAATTGATCCATTTAATAATTTGTATGACTATTCACTGAACATATTTTGCAATACTTGTCCAGCTCTATGGGACTCAGGCCAAGAGGAAAAAGATTTTATATAGATGTCTTATCTGTTTTCTATGAGTCTTTCAATCATGCATAGGAGGGAGTGGAGTGGGCCCCAAATTTAACTTGCAAACGTATTTTAGTTTATGGGACATTTAATTGAGCCATTTGTCAATTTAGTTTTATATCAAACACAGCTGACAGCTGAGGCTGTCTGTAAGATTTATCAGAAAGGATCTGTCACAACTCTTCTTTGTGGGAGTTAGGAAAGGATTGAGATACCTATAAGCTCTGATTTGTGAGCAAATGAAGCCCTAAATGTTACTTGAAAACCACAGCAGAAGAATAAAACAGGGATGGGGCTGGAAAATCAAAGCAAGGCAGGATTATTTTTCTTGGACTCCAAAAGCAGAGTAAATACAACTAAACCCAGATCCAGGCACACTAATAGAAAGGGCAGAATAGGCTCAGAGTCACCCTCCTCATCTTCCCACGAGTGACACTGAACCTGAACTTCCATGGCCTATCCATGGTCAGAGTATCCCCTTCAGTAAGTGTATAAACTTGGGTGATTCTTGTTAAAGTCATAATAAGAGATGATCAGCAAGAGGAGATGGCCTGAGTGGGGGGTATAGCGCCTCTAAAATGGCAGAGCATGGACTTGATTGGCTAGTCTGGGTACTTTCTGCCTGCAGACTCTGTTGTTGTATTAGTTATTATTTGTATTGCAGTAGTGCCAGGTAAGGACCAGGACCCCATTGTGCTAGGCATTGTACCAGCCCAGAACAAGACATCACAGGCACTGTCCTGGTTTTGACACTACTATCTATGAAACACTAATGACAATAATTTGCATTTGTACAATGCCTTTTATCTGGGGATCTCCTTATCCTCATTTTACAGATTGGGATACTGAGGCACAGAGAAGTCAAGTGACAAGCCTGAAGTTACACAGTGAATCAGAAGTAGAGACAAGACTAGAACCATACCTCCAATTGGGGTGGGGGGGTGTCAGAGTGAGGGCACTGGCTTTAGCAGATATTATTAAGCACGCTCAGTCCATGTGAGCATGCTCAGTACAAGCCAAGCAGCAAATCTGTGTGGGGTGGGGGGAGGATGTGACTCTGCATGCCCCTGCCATATGTCACCTCTGACTAGAACCTATGTCTCCTGACTCTCAGTCCCCTGCTCTAACGATAGTCAGACACTGCTGCCTCTCAAACAGTTCATCCGAGAATGAGAAACTGCAGTTTCTTACTTCAAGCTCTAGATTCCGGAACTCCAGCAGTTCATTCTGGTCCCTGGCATCCTGCAGCTCCTGTTGCAATCGGCTGTTGTCTGCCTCCAGTTTTTCTATCTAGTAGAAATATTTGAATTAATGGTTTGTGCTGCCATTTCAAAACCACTGATTGTTCCAAAAACAAACCAAAACGCAAAGATAGGAACTGGCAGCTCAAAGAATAAAGAGGGTTCAAACGGTGCAAAACCCCAAACAGGAAGATGTTTCCAAAGTTGCTGTTTTACTTGATCAAACTTTATTTTACAGATGAACTTTGAAAACAAACTCTATAAAGCTCATTGAAGGCAATGGCTGGAAGTTTCAAAGGAATTATGTACCTCGCCACTTTTGAAAATCTCAGTTTAAAAGATTATAAGTAACATTTTCAAAAACACTTAAGTGATTTAGGAACCTATGCGCCATTGAAAGGCAATCACATAGGTTCCTAAGTCACGTAGACATTTTGGACAAATGTACCCGATATATATCCCGTAGTAAAGAGTACTGATGCTACAAGGAGGGGATGCTTTTTATTTCTAGAAGCACTGTTTTGTCACTTTAAGCACGGGATCAAAATTTCCAGCCTTAGATAGCAACAGTAAAGACTTAGCATAATGTAACATGATTGGCAGTCCCTGTCCCAGCCTTGCAGTAGTGATGTTGCCGTAGGGACTGTGCCTGTCAGACATGGCCTATATATGAAGACCTGTGTGACTAAACCTAGGAATAGAATAGCAGAGCCTGTCCATACCATTCAATACATTCATAAGCACCAAATTCTCCATCCACAATGTGTATGCATATTGTACCCCCTAAAAACCTCTAATACCTGAGGCCTTAAAGCTTACCTTTTCCAAAAGCTCCTGGTTCCTCTTAATGAAAAGCTGTTTATCTTCTACCCAGTGGGAATCCTGTTTGGTAAAGTAACACTGTTATATAATAATCGGGTAACTATTTCAGTGCTTAGCCTGGGAGTCCACATGAAATTGAACATGATTAACAAATGTGCAGTGTTGGATATTACCGTGATAGGCTTTTTTCTATCTAACAGAGGTAGAATCTATAGTAGCTGTATGTTCATAACAATATATTAATCTATAAATGAGTAGCAAAGCTTCTGAACCCATTAAGTCTTTTCATTAGAATGTGGTGCTTCTTCCCTTTGAGCCAGTATAGAAACAATGCCCCACGATGGCGTCACAGACATGCTGTAACAAGTATTGGGATGTACAATGGGATCATGAGCACTCATGGTTCCTATGGCACATTTTGTAAGAGTACAGATATTAATCTCATTGTCCCACCCAGCCTTCTACCAACCTAAATTCCCACTGAAGTTTCAAATATTGTCAATGTTAATTTCCTGTCCTCAGTTGTTTTGCAGTGATCCTGTGTGGTGTTAAACAGATGTGAAATTCTACCCAGAAGTCTGCATTTTAGTGGTGGGTGAAGTGATTCCCCCTCTCCCCTAGCTACTTTGGGATTTTGAGGTTTAATTAATATGTATTTATAAAGAACTTTAAATAAGCTGTAATTAGGATTTGTAAAGATCTGAAAGTCAAGGGCCAGAATCCGATCTCCGTTACATCAATATAAATCTGGAGCAATTCCATTGACTTTGATGGAGATACCAGAATAAAATCAGACCCAAAATTTGTTATAGAAATGTGAAGTATTGTTAATAATGTCTCTGCCTCTCAACATGACAAGAAAGGATGTGAAGTGTGTTCTTTGATATCTTTTCTCTGAGCTGGAGTGGGATCACAAAGCACTTATTTTGCTAGCGGCTACCATTACTAAAAATTCTCCAGGGTCTCTTGAAGGACAACTGTAATCTAATCCTCACCTGTGCACTAACAAGTCTAAACCCAGCCCTGGCAGCATCAGTACTCCACAGTAGTAACTGCTTGTTGTGCTACTGTCCTGCAAAACTTGTGAAGCAAACAAGATACTATACCCAGGACCTCTGATGGCCTGCATTCATGCCTATGTGAGCAGAAGCAGAGATTAGCTACAGTCCAAAACAACAAAGAAAATACCCACTACGAAGCATCTACCTGTCCTTTTTGTGCCAAAGTTGTTTCCAGATCTTCTATTTTTGCTTTATACCTCTGGACTTCTGCTTGGAGCTGCTCCTGTGCCTGTTAAAGTCAGTTACATCATTAAATAGGAACAAGCAGAAATACAGTTTTTTGGATTTTCAATGCATAGGAAACTGAGCACAGCAGTCTGGCCTCCTACAAAGTGAATGTAAAACACTACGAGTCTGACTTGTTTGCATTTTATGCCCATTTTACACTTGGTTTACACTGGCATAAAGCATGACACAAGGGCCGAGGCAGTGGAGAATCAGGCCCCAAAACTTATAATTGCTGTTCATTGTATTGCAGTAGTACCAACCAAGATCAGGGCTCTATTGTGCTAGATAATGTACAAAACCACAGCAAGAAGCAGTCCCTGCTCTGAAGAGATTACATTCTAAATAGACAAGATAGGAAAAAGGTGGGAGAAAGAAACTATCCCCACACTACAGATGGGAAATCTTTTAGTCTTGGAAGATTTAATATAAACTGGATAATTAGTACCTTTTACAGAATAACTACATCCACCTGTTAAAGACTTTCAAACGCATGTTCAAAAGAAGATGAAATGTTTGAACCCACAAAAACCTACAGGTGTCCTTTGTGCCTGCAAAAACGAGCACCCTGATGCACAAAATGGGGAATTGTCTGTACCAATTACAGAATCACCCATTTTTCCTGGCTCAGCAGGTAAATAGTATATTATGGGTCCATCCATTGTGTCCATCTTTAATAATGTTGCCCCTTTAAATATGCTCTGCAAAATGAGTGAAACTGTCATTTAGCAACCGTGACTTAGATGCCACTTTGATGTTCTCTTTGGGAGGTTTGTATGCACTAGTTTCTAGTTGCAGCTGAACACGCACCCACCCCTCCAGACAAAGACTGACCTTGGCTTCTCTTTCAGCATCTATGATGCCTCCAGTCTGTTCCTGCAGTAATGCATATGCCCTCTGCAGGGCCTGGTATTCCTTTGTTAGCTGCCGAAATCGCAGCTCTGATTCTTCTGCTGCTAAACTCTGTATGAACAGAAAGAACGTGCTGTACAAGCAGCAGACACAGGAGCATTGCAAAGGAGAGAAGTGCCTAAAATGTGGCTTATTGTGGCCAACGTAGGTTTCCAACTTTACCATGTATTATCAACCAAAGTGCTTGAGTCAAAACAGATTTGTAATGAGCGTGTTGTAGTGGTGGTAAAGGTGTGGAATTTCGAAAATGTTTATGGATTTTTAATCTGGGTCTGGAGTTACTTTTATTTCAGATTTAGCAAGTTGTCAGGAAAACAGACCAGGGCTGCTTGGATCACAAGGTTTTGTAGATTTCTACCATGTTTCTCAGTGACACTGGTGTTAATCCAGAGTAACTCCACATCACTAAGAAGGTTTGACTCTCCCGTTCAGGCACAGGAAAATACAATTTGTCACTCTATGCGCTGAAAGGGCATCTAAATCTGAGAAGAGATTCACTCCTGGAGGGGGACTGCCATTGCCTTGTGTCCTGGAGCATAGTGTTAGAATAAGGCTGGGGCTTATTCAGCTGAATCAGCACATCCGTTGGGTGTTCTGGCCCTGCCTCCTTCCCAGCTAGCCCCTCCTACTTTCTGGCTGTACATCCTGGCAGAGCAGGAAGTGTGGGCAAATTATATTACCTCCTGCACCAAGTTTGACTTGCGCGTGCCAGAGGGATCTGGGTAGTAAATATGGCTCACTAACTTCCGTGGAAGTATTCCAGATTGACACAGACGTAAGTGAGAGTAGACTCTGGCTCAAGGCCTGTCATTACCTTTTGCATCAGCAATGAGACCTACAGATTCAAAAAAATTTTTTTGTCTCCAACATCCACCCTGCCGCACAATGGTTGAAGGACTGTGAGCAGACAGGAAGTTTTTCTACCTGGGTATCTTTTCCCAAGAAGTACTAATCACTGCCCCATTGTTGGTGCCTTCTGGAATGACTGCATCATTCATGTTGTGGTGCATGGGCTTGCTTGTGCATGGGATCATGGCTTCCTCTAGTGGATTTTCCCCTGTCTTCCACTACCGGGCAGGCAAACGAACTCTACTTTCGCTTAGGTGGTACGTTCTTTGCTTTTGGTGCTGAAGGCCCCTGTGTTCTGTCCCTGATGAGGCTCATGGTGTCAGTATGTGAGTGTGTCTGTGGTTCATTACTAATGGAAGTACAATGCTCAGTTAAGGAACTTTCAGGGCCTGGAGAGAATTGTGGACTCCGAAAAACTGATGGGGGAGTATTGAGCCATGGACATTCAAGGTGAACTGGGAAAAGCAAGGCTTGCGGAACTACCCAGAGGGACTGATTCAGGGCTCAGTTTTCTGCCTGGCGGATGTGACTGATGAACTGGTTGGCCAGACTAGTACCAACTACAAGTACTTTTCAACAAAGTAATTGGAAAGAAATGAAACCTAAGCTTAACAATATAGATAATTTGCATATTTAGTGATTCTTATTGCAGGTTCTAGGGGATAGATTTCCAAAAAGCTCAGGGCTAGATTTTCAAGATCTCCATGTCTAAAACTGAGGCCAAATTGACAGAAGAGCTCAGCACCCATTGTACACCCAATGTTTGAGGCCCTGGCTGCTTGTTTTGGGAACTAATTTCTCTTCAAAATCTAGCTCCAATTATAGCGAGGCAGCCAATTCTTACCTCATCCAGGTCATCGTCTGGGGTTGCTGGTGTTCTGTCTGTTCTGAATGAGGCCATGGATGAGGTTTCAGAGTCCAAGGAGTCATCATCGTAGCCAAAAACAGTATCCACTATATGTCTCTAAAACAGGAAGAACATGTGGTTTCTGAACCCCTTTTGGAGGCAAACAGCATGGGGTTATATATGGGGCAGTGTTAGCCAGTTCCAAAAACACTTTAGTAGGCACTTTAAAAGAACCACAAGACATGAAAGAAGAGCCATAAGTTGCATTTCCAAACACCAGATCCCTCTGAAAGGAACCACACATAGGTCCCTATAATCAGCTGGTGAATTGAGGTCCATGGTGTTGTGCTTATTCATTCGCATCAGTTATGTATCTGGCCTGTAGTCTAAAACTATCAGACAATGTAGCGTCAGAGAGTATCAATATCCCAAGAGAGAAGCCTCTACCCCCATCTGAAGGGAATAGAATCATATGTTGTTACTTCATAAAGCTGTTCAGAGCAACCATCTTTTAGTCCTGTCTTAAAGGACAATGCCACAATACCAGAGATGTCCTGTTGTGCAGAACTGAGATGATGAACCTGATTCTCCTATCACTGTCTATCTTGAGTAAGTCAGTGGATTTACATGAAAGTAAAACTGGTGTGGTAATTGCTACCTCAGCGAGAATGCTGTTCAAACTATGTGTTTTGGTTAAGGTTGAATATCCTGCCACCTAGACTGAATTAAACACATCACAGAAAAAATGTGAGTCACATTCTATGATGGTAGAACTGCTTAACCAGCAGGTTTGGATTTCAGGATACTGATTTCAGCATTTAATGCTTGGCACACAGTAGAATACTTATGCAGACAGATGGATCAATAAGAATTTAAGATGCACTGTTGCACTACAGTATTTTTCTCTTCTAATGCTGTCAGATTACAGCCCTCTAATAAATCCCCACTGTTTGAGTCATGCAGAAGGGATGAACTGAAGATGCTGAGAAATCCTTGTGTATGTGTACTTTTTTTAGAAATGAAGAGCACTGCTATACCCTACTGAGCAGTACAATTTCTGGTTGCTTATTTAGAAATAAAGTTAAACAGGGACATGTTGGGCTCATTCCTTAGCCTCAGTTCTGCCTGTTGTGTGCAACCTTAAAATCCTTAATGAAATTATGTGACAGTACCTCAATTTACCATAGGACTTATTGGGCCTGATTCTGCTGAATGACAGGACAGACTTGCATGACTCTGGCGGAGAAAAGTTGCCCTAACCTGGTGAATCTGGCCATTTGAGAGTCCTCTGGTGGCACAGAGCTAACCTAGCAGTTTCTAAGGCACAGGAGACATGGCTGGGGGTTCCCTAAATCCAGCTGATGGAAGCACTGGCAGCTGGCATAAATTAGCTCATCCCTCGGGTTGCTCTAAATTATTGCAGGGACTGGACTAGATTGAGGATCAGAGCACCACAAATGACTTAAGACCTCTGCACCCTTCTTCTCTTCTGAGCTGAGTGCTGCGTAGGATCTGGGCCAGGGATTTCAGTTTACGAGAATATTAAAGTCAATGGAAGTTTTGCGTGAATAAGGATTTCAGGATTGGATTAGTATTAGTATTAACCAACAGCAGCAGACAGATTGAAGAGTCTTTCAGGACAAAAATATGATCCCAACAGGACCTGAAATTGGTATCTACAGAAAAGCAGATGGTAAATAATTATGTTATTATTTTAAAGGAAAAATAGGATTGAAAAGCTTTTCCAAAGAAATTCAGATTCCTTTGAACCCCATTGCTAAGGGAGCTTACTGCAACCAAACATCATCTGTTTCCTCAGGTTTTCACGGATTGTTTTCCTGAAAAGCCCACTGGCATTGTTACAGTAAGACAGAGTAGTTTTCCTCTTACCTTAATTGGCTTTGAACTTCTTTTATGCTTCCTGCGACGAATCAGCTTTTCCCTATCCTGGAAAATACAGTTAAGAAATATGATCCAATATTTCATAGTTCCATTGACTTTAATGGAGTTAGTCTTATTTACACAAGCTGAGGATCTAGTTCTTTGTGCAGAACACTGCTATTTAAGGTTGAAAGGGTGACCAGAAGTTATGACATCTGAAAAGAAGCTCCAGCCATTTACTCATGTCGTGTAGCTGTCATTTCTGTTAAACAATTTGTACAGGGCCTGGTCATCATGGGGAGTGGGATGGGGCCATGAGATTTGAAGTATACTATTTGCCTTGTCTGCAGATGCATCGTTGATATCTGTCTATCTCAAAGTCATTGGGCTGTGTTATTGTTGACTTCATGTCCGTTTCCCAAGCAGGATGTCTTAGACGATGCAACAGATTTCTGTGGAATCTGATTTTGTTCATATTATCTTGCAAATGTCCTGGAAAGGGGCATTTAACATGAAGAGCTGTATCCAAATTACTAGTGAACGGCTGTCTAACAACATCTGCTTCTGTGTCACATCCGAGGCTTCTTAAGGGGATTCTAACATCAGCACTTCTTAACCTCACTGATGTACCCAAGATTCAGACGTACAGTATTATTGATGAGGTGAACAGTGCAATGAAGAATGTATCCTTTTGGCAAGACTAAAACTGGGGAGAGGCCCCTGTTTTCTTAGTTAAAACCAGTCTTCCCGTGGGGGTACAAAGTCTTCTCACTCTTCAGTTTCCAAAATCTGGAACAATCCTCTCTCTGCGTCTCTACGTCTCAGCTGCAAACTTATTTTTTCTCTCTTCCCTATACAGAACTCTGCATCTGTATTCTGTACTATATTGCATATATCTAATTGTATAAGACATTCTGCAACTACTGTATATATTTTAGGCTCGCTGTTTTCTATTTTATTGAATCCTGGAACTATATTACTGTTTTACATGTTAATTTTTAGGATATCATTTTGTGAAACACACTGGGGACCTGATTTTGAATAAGACATCATTCTTCTTTCTTGTAACTATTTTTTTCTTACAGCTAATTGTCATTTAGACATCTAATTACTGGATTACACATATCTACAAAATGATACAAACTGTGCCCACACATAATTGCACCCACAAAATTGTACTGTGAGACTGTATTTTAAAATTCACATCCTAGAAATAATAAAGCATCATTATTATTAAAATGTTACCACTCAAATCCTGTCTGTTATGAGATGAAGATGTCAGTTATATGTGATTGCTTTTAATTACTGATGGGCTAGACATACCCTTGTTAACTCATCAATTATGTTCTGTTGTTCTATAACTTGAAGCTTTAAAAACTCAGTTTCTTGCTCTTCGTTAGCTTGATCTAAGTCATTGAGAGATTTTAATTTCTTCAGTGGAGGGTGTGATGTCATTTTTTCTCTCTGTTTAGAAGACAAAACATATATATATAGAGAGAAATAAAGAAAGATAAAATGAGAGTCAGTACTTTAAAGTCCCCCCTTTAATCAGGCAATGTTTTCATGTTCTTTTAAATCTGCATCAGTTGCAAAATTGTCATGACATTACTACTCTTTACCATCCCTTAATTGTAAAAAGGAGAGAATGTCAGGGAGTTAAATTGTAATTTATTCTGCATGAGGCTATGCAGTAGGGCTGTCAAGCGATTAAAAAAATTAATAGCGATTAATCGCGCTGTTAAACAATAATAGAATACCATTTATTTAAATATTTTTGGATGTTTTCTACATTTTCAAATATATTGATTTCAATTACAACACAGAATGAAAAGCGTACAGTGCTCACTTTATATTTATTTTTGATTACAAATATTTGCACTGTAAAAAACAAAAGAAATAGTATCTTTTCAATTCCCCTAATGCAAGTACTGTAGTGCAATCTCATTATCATGAAAGTTGAACTTACAAATGTAAAATTATGTACAAAAATAACTGCATTCAAAAATAAAACAATGTAAAACTTTAGAACCTACAAGTCCATTCAGTCCTACTTCAGCCAATCGCTCCCACAAACAAGTTTGTTTACATTTGCAGGAGATAATGCTGCCTGCTTCTTGTTTACAATGTCACCTGAAAGCGAGAACAGGCCTTCACATGGCACTGTTGTAGCTGGCACTGCAAGATATTTATGTGCCAGATGAGCTAAAGATTCATATGTCCCTTCTTGCTTCAACCACCATTCCAGAGGACATGTGTCCATGCCGATGATGCTCGTTAAAAAAATAATGCGTTAATTAAATTTGTAACTGAACTCCCTGGGGGACAACTGTATGTCTCCTGTTCTGTTTTACCCCACATTCTGCCATATATTTCATGTTATAGCAGTCTCAGATTATGACCCAGCACATGTTTGTTTTAAGAACACTTTCACAGCAGATTTGACAAAACACAAAGAATGTAAAACAGAACATACAACTGTCCCCCAAGGGGTTCAGTCACAAATTTAATTAACACATTATTTTTTTTAAAGAGCATCATCAGCATGGAAGCATGTCCTCTGAAATGGTGGCCAAAGCATGAAGGGGCATATGAACGTTTATCATATCTGGCATGTGAATACCTTGCAACACCAGTTACAAAAGTGCCATGCGAATGCCTGTTTTCAATTTCAGGTGACATTGTAAATAAGAAGCAGGCAGCATTATCTTCCATAAATGTAAACAAACTTGTTTGTCTTAGCGATTAGCTGAACAAGAAGTAGGACTGAGTGGACTTGTAGGCACAAAAGTTTTACATTGTTTTGCTTTTGAGTGATGTTATGTAACAGAAAAAAAATCTACATTTGTAAGTTACACTTTCACGATAAAGAGATTGCACTACAGTACTTGTATGAGGTGAATTGAAAAATACTATTTCTTTTTATAATTTCTACAGTGCAAATATTTGTAATAAAAATAATAATATAAAGTAAGCCCTGTACACTTCGAATTCTGTGTTGTAACAGAAATCAATATATTTGAAAATGTAGAAAAACATCCAAAAATATTTAATACATTTCAATTGGTATTCTATTTTTTAACAATGCGATTAATCGTGATTAATTTTTTTATCGCAATTAATTTTTTTGAGTTAATCGCATGAGTTAACTGCGATTAATTGACAGCCCTACTATCTATATATCATGATGTTGCCCTCTAGTGACTGGCGCACAGAAAGCACAAGGGAGAACTCTTTGAGTGGAAGCGGTAGAAGTCTGTAGTGCTGTAGAACAAGTGTTGCAATGTCTATAGTGTCAACACTGATTTGCCTGTTTGCAGGACATGGATTGGTTACACTGTTTTAGGGTAGATTAACCCTGTAACTTTAACCTCTGTTAAGCTGGATGTGAAATCCCTGCTTGCAGAAGAAATTAAAATGAATCTGATAGTCTCCTAATCACCAGTGGAGCAGGACCCATATGGAAAAGCAACCAGCCTGCTCAAGCGATGTGCAGTGGAAATCACAAATCAGGGATGAGATACATTAGCAAATGCTATGTGGGCAAGGCTGCTCAGCACCTGGCTGCATTATTCCTGGCTGTAGCCATAGATATTACTTGTACATTTTGTTAAAAATGCCAAAACACCAAAATGAGTGTAGGAAAGTGTTATAACCCTTTTGAAAACTGCAGCAGTTCCATGTTAATGGATTTCTAAAGAAGAGAGCTTTTCCCACATGTAAAAAAGCAACCACACAAAATAGAACAAATATTTCGGGTGAAATTTACAGTTCCAGGTCTCCCATTTGTGGTGCAGTTTACAGCTCCAGACATCACATTTGTATACCCACTTTTCCACATGCATCTAGTTATGCCCACAAATGATGCATGCACCCACGCTGCCCAAATGCCTGACATGTGGGGGTTCTGTGAAGCAGATGATGCTCTTTATCTGCCACAGATATGCACATAAAAATGCAAACGCAAAGACCAACATGAAGCTGGCTGAAAATGTAGCTCTTAATATTTTCCCTTCCATAAAGTATTTACAGCCAGGCCTGGATGGAAGAAAAATGTCAGAGTAAGACATGAACTGAGGGCACAGCTGTTTTTCATGGTGAAGGCCTGTAAATCTAATTTATGAAAGACCACGTTGAAGCCTGTGGAAGTGCATATATATATACAGATCTGTGCTTGGTGTTCAATACCAACCATTTCTACATTTTCTTTAGTGATTGCTTTGAGTTTCTCCTCCATGCGCTGCAAAGACTGCATCAGTTCATCGTTTCTCTTGGTGAGGCACTTGTTCCTTTCAAGGAGAGGTTTGCATTGTTTTTCAGCTTCTCGAACACGTTTCAACTGTAATAATGAATAATAATGACAAGTTAAAAATGGATTTTCCTTCCTTCACTGTGGGCTCTTGCCTTCTCTCTCCTTCCCAGGTGACTATTGTCCCAACAAAGCCCTGAACAAAAGTATGAAACGGAACTGACAGAATAATATCATCTAACTCTCATATAGCACTTTTCATCCATAGATCTCAAAGCACTGTACAAAGGAGGTCCCTTTTACACATGGGGAAACTGAGGCACAGAGAGACAACATGACTTGTCCAAGGTCACCCAGGAGGCCAGAAGCAGAGCTGGGAATAGAACCTGTCGACTGTGTCATACTGACTTCCTTACCAAAAGAAAGAGTTGGATTGGTCCTTGAATGGCCCAAGTTACGCTGATAGTAAATATCACATCCATAGCTTGGGCTCTTGATGGACAACAGAACACATACATATTTGTATAAAACAGTAGATTTATTTTAATCAAACCATTGCTTAACAGTGAGAAGGCATTTTTGTAGGTAGTAGCATGTTTCTAATATATCAATGTCTATATTCTTATCCACTTAAATGTCCTCCTTCCTTACAAGATGAGTTCCACTGAATAACACTCAATTCCTGTTTAAAAAGACAAAACAAAACAATCCTTTCTGGCAGGGAAGGAGGAATCTCAAGTTGCCATTTTAGGCATAAAGCCCTTTGTCCCTTTTCTATTGTCCTTTGGGTGTTTTCCTTCCATGGCACAGTACTTAGTCATACTATATTATTTAATAAATATGCCCATTATCTAAGGTCTGTTTACAGTCATTTTCAAAGAAGTGGCATTTTCTCATTAAAAAATACTTCAGTAATTTAAAAGTTTGTATCCATAAGAGCAAAGTAGGGTGAATGTTAATGGTATAATCTTTTAGAAGCCAAGTTTTTGAGAGAGATACATAATCAAATCAATAAAAGTAATCCATTTTGCTGTATTACTGAAATGTTGGTAAGACATCATTTACAAGTATTAATTAATACCACCGAGGCACACAAGATATCTATATTAACACATACTGAGTTAATCATGGTTATTGCTTCCACAATGAACGTAATGGAAACAGCACTGCTTTTCAAAAACTTAATCTTTTACTACAACTGCAGAAATGATGAAGGTCAAAAAGCACTGATGTTCACTTAAAGGCACACCTATCCTGTTCTAAGAGTCAATCTGATAAAGAAATGAATTTATTGTTGTAGCCTCTAGGGCTAGCCTGCTTGCTTGCCTATATATCTTTTCTTATAGGTTTCTTATTTTATTATGACTTTGATTATTTGTTTTATTATAATAGGTTTACAGGTTTATATTAAAGTAGTTTGGCTGTAATGCAAGGGACCTACAGGCCACATTCTGTATATTGAGCTAAGGCAAAGTTAGCACACATATGTCTGGGACCTTTCACCCAGATAGCAAAGTTAGCACACATATGTCTGGGACCTTTCACCTAGGTAAATAGTGATGAGTTAAGGCATAAGGTCCATATATGGCTGTGATCTTTAACATAGATAGATAAAGGATGTGTTGAAGCAGGTTGGCATAGGGGGCTTTCCAAAGTTCATACTCTCTGTAAACAGGTACACCACAAGGAAATAACTGAAATAACCGGGAGGACAAAAATAACAAATGTAAGAATGATCTAATGTCATTAATATGTATGTATATGGCATCAATATGTACAAACATACCAGCCTATGGAGTAAGTGTACCCCAACATTTCAGTGGGTGAGGAAACTAAGTTTGGACATAGAAGGAGGGCCTGAGTGCTCAAGCCCTACAAAAGAGGGTGACCCACCTTGCCAAAAAAGTGTCTAAGCTTCTAAGTTTCTGAGGGTTTTTCTAAGTTTTGTGCTTGGGAGCTTGTTCTCTAAGTTTCTAAGCTCCACGCTTCTTCGTTCTTAGTTTATTAGTCTGTTAATTTAATTTTAAGTTTTAAGTCAGTTAGTTAAGTAAAACTCTAAGTTAGCTGCAATAGCTCTTAGCTCTAGTTTCTTCTAAACTCTGCACCTCCCTGTCAACAATTAAGGAACCTGAGGGGAGGCTGGGCCTTTGTGTCTTAGCACCAGGTCATCAAGAAAGGGTGTGAGTATATTAATCAAAAGCTTTATAGTGTATAATATCATGTGTATCTTTAAAATACTAGTATTGCATTTATAACTCTAATTATTTTACCAAGTTATTTATTGTGACACAGTGTCCTTGTTGGAGTTCAGGGATTATGGGCTGTTCATCTGTAGCAGAACTAGAAAAAAGGTCACCAGTGAAACAGGAAATCCATCTCAGATTGGCTGACGGGGTTACTGTGAAATTTCCTGGTAAACTCCTCAAGAACCCTCTGAACTGTGGCAGATTAAGCCTCGACCCCTATGAACTGTGGATCTGAGACCTAGACTGGCATCATCCACAGAGCCCTCTGAGGAGGCCCCAGGGCTGGGGCGAGTGGGCCAGGAGATGCAGGAGCTGGATTCAGTTGGCAGCCGGGGCTGGCCGTGGCTGCCCACTGTTGCCTCATGTGTTTAAATGTAATGCGCTACCATGTTGTGCTTTATGAGGTGTTTTCTGAGGCATTCCATGATATACAGAATGGTAGCGTGTTAAATTGAAACACAAGAGACAGAAAATACCAGGAGGGCAGTGAATGTGGTGGACTAATGACCGAGGGCCTCATCCCAAGCCCCTTGCCATTGCCTTCAATGGGCTTTGGCTTAGGCCTTGAGGCAGCTGAGCCTTCCTGAGTACCACAATGCCATTTCCAACCCTCTCATGCCCCTGGGCCCTAGAGGTAGTGGGTGGTCACAGTATGAACTTTCTCTGCCTCTAACACCCTTGGAGGCTCCTCTTCTTTCCTTTCCTTTCTTTACAGCTCCTTGCCTCCCCAATCTGACACAGACAAGAGCACACACCAGTTCATTTCGTTCATCTACAAGCAGTGTGTTCCTGTCCTCCAACTTCCGGATAGTGGCATTCAGCTCTGCCATTCTCTTCTGATTTCTGCGTAAATCCTGTAAATTGAAAGAAAGAAAATTTAGTTTCTAGGTCCTCTGAAACTGTCCATTGGACAAGAAACAAATGGACTGGAATGCTCACAAAAAAGACGAACACATCATCATTTTCTAATGAAACGAAACCCATTTGTAAGGTTGACATCATTTACGTCTGTCACAAGTACCTGGATGCTGGGTAAAAGTTAAAACAGCATGGACCTCATTCTGTACTATCTAATGCAGCTTGTGTGGTCATTGACTCGTGCAACATGGGTGCAAATGACATGCCATTCTGTTGGTAGCAGTTTACATTCAGTATGCACTGGTGCTGATGACCACATAAGGTACAAGCTCAGGTCATTAGTCTGAACTCATTAGCTCAGGAAGCATTAACTGCTCAAAGCAAAGGGAAACATAAACATTTGCAAGGGAGAAACTTGGATAGGTCTCAACCTGAGCCTTCAAGGCTGCTTCGTTTGGACTTTGAAAGCTATATCTGAGGAGGAAGATTCATAGAAGGGGTTTCTGGACCGAGGAACAGAACTGGTCAAAATTTTTCCATTGGAACTTTTTTGATGGAAAATTAGGTTGTTGATTAAAAATTTTCTCAGAAAGTGCCTGCTTTCCTTGAACATTTTTTCCATGGGATTTTTTTTTTCAGTTTCTGACAATTTTCAGATGAAAGTTTTCATTTTTCAGTTGTTGGAATAAAAAATTCTGGTTTTGTTTTTTGATTAAAAATTAAGTATTTCTGATGAAAATTGTGACAAAACTAAAAATGTTTAGTTTTTGTATAAATTTTCCTCAGAAACACTCTCATCCCCCTTCTTTTCTGAACAACTCTACTTAGGAGGGTTTTTTCAGAACAAAACTCAGGTTGGAAAGCAAGGAAAACACTGTCATTCTCAACTGCCTTTATCTTCTTATACCTGCTTTGCACAAAAGTGTAAGTAAAGAAATAGGCCCTGAATAGTTTAGTCCAGTAGACATTTCCTGTGCCAAGAACTATTTCCTGTAATTAGTATTACCACTAGAAGACACTTCACAGAGTGAGGCTTAACTACTGTAGCAACATGAAAATGATGCAGGAAGTGGGCAAAATAATTTTGCAATCCAAATAAAGCCCATTGTTTGTATTTTGGATTACATTTAAACCTACTTACAGGACTGCTACAATGTTCTGATCCATCTCCAGCTCTTCCTGGGATCTCTCGTTTGGGACTGCTCATGTTACACTCTGCCTCCTTCACTAAGAAGAGCTGTTCATCCAGAGCCTCCTTCTGCAGCTGGAGCTTCTGTACATAGCCTGTCTGGGTCTCCAGTTCTTTCTCCAAGGAAAAGATGATTCTGTCTTTAGCCTTGATTTCATCCATCTTAATTAAGAAATAAAAGTACAATGTTACTGCACAAGCCCAACAGAATGTCAGCACTGCAGGAGTAAGGAGAGATCACCTTACCGTTGTTGTTCACTGCTGTATCTGCTGTTAAATAGTACACCAAACTCATGGATTACACACTTCCTCAACATCATAAAAAACAAATAGTTATTGCATCGGATTAGTAAGTCTATGATGAGCAAAGGCCATAAATTGAATGATATAGAAGTACATCTATGCACAAAATATGGACTGATTTTCAAAGGTGCCCAGGTCTTCACTCCCTGCTGATGTACATAAGAGATGCAGGTGCTCACCTTCTCTGAAAATCAGACCAAGGGTTTAATCTATAACTTCATCATCATCAAACATGCACAGTCTCTGGAAGACCAAAGCGCCAGCCAGAGTGACCACAGTTGATGGTGTTGAACCAGTACCAGTTCAAAGTAAGTGGAAAACAATCAAAATTAATATGATTGGGCTAGATCCCCAGGTATGGAGCTATGCTGATTCACACCAGCTGAGGATATGGTCTGTGTACTCACTTTGCACAGATGTAAGATCCTCAGTTGGTGTAAATTGGCACAGCTTCATAGATTTACATCCGCTGAGGATCTGTCCCCTCTATTTAGTAGACTTGCAGTCTAGGGGCCTCATTCTCCGCTCCCTATTGGCAGTGTCATTCTAATGAATGGAGAATCAAGTCCATAAGTTTCATTAGCTGCATCACGCCTGTCTAATGTTCCACGCAGATCCAGCACATATTGAAGTGTCTCATCCCTTCCTCTAGAATCTGGATGACTGATGCTGTCCAGGCAGCTACACTGGAAGACTAGAAGAGAAAGGGGTAACTAACGTTTAGAATAAGATCACTGCACGTAAGCCCTGAAAACTTTAAAGATAGGTATGAGCCAGCTAAATGCCATTGAGCCTAAGGAAATTCTGTGACTCAGAATTTGTAAAACACTCAGGGAAAAAAATGCATGTTAATCTGTGAAAGTTACATGAGTCATTTCCCCAAAACCCGAATGCTGCCTGTGTTGAATTTTGCCCAGAGCCTCAAAGATATTTACTGATCCTGTTGCCTTTCATGCATACTGAAATCCTCCCAACAGTATATTTTTCAAATTAATGGGCCAGATGGTACTCAGACACAGAAGCCAAAATGTGGACTGTCCAGGTAAAACCCGGACGGGTGGCAACTCTAGGCCAGATTCTAATCTCTATTACACACTTGTCAATCTGATGCAACCCCATTGATTCCAGTGGAGATACAGTGGATTTACACTGGCGTAAATGAGATCAAAGTCTGACCTAGTGCATGGCACTTATACAAACAAAAGCTTTTTAAAAGGGACCATTTTTCTGTTTAAAATACCATTTCACTCACAAAATATTCATACAGGGCTGAGTTGACTAGTGTTGCCAACTCTCACAATTTTGTTGTGAGTCTCATGCTATTTAGTGTTTATCTTAAAGCCCAAATCCATTGTCTGAGAGTTTGAGCTTCCCGTTAAGAAAAAAAGGAAGATCCTAGCCCTCAGGATTACAGAGCGAAGCTTGAAATTATGACACAAGAGTACCATAAAGGCTCAAAAAAGCAAAAGGCAAACCAGAAAGAACCCAATGTTCATTCTTTTGAAACTCTCATGATTACTAAACCAGTCTCCTGATTTCGGGGGTCTGATTTCCCACTTTTTCTGAACACTGGGTAATGGCAATATTACGATCTACACCATTCTAGGGTCTAGCCCAGCAATTTAAAAGTGAAAAAGTAATTAATTTGAATTTTTTTTCACTTACCTGCCAAATTGTGAATTCAACTTTCCAGACCAAATTCGTTGCTGTTGCAAGTGAGCATAACTCCTTTGAAGCCAGTGGAGTTGTAGCCACTTACCCCAGCACTGAATCTGACCTTCTGTGTTGTTTCTATAACTGTTGATGACACCATAAAGACTAAAGCAGAGAGCATTGCTCCCCTCTGCTGTTTAAAATCTTTCCATACTATCATTTGTATTAGAAAAGTTGGTAGGTAGCAACTGCAGATGGAGACATAATCACAACATGAGTAAGAACTCATATAATATCTAATACAAATCTTCTCTTATCCTGACACTAATGGATCAAATACATGTTTGGGGCATTGCAGGTATATTATTAGCTCAACTAGAATTTCAATTTCCTTTTAAATTAAATTAAATTTATAATAATAATAAGGGCTCTCAAGCGATTAAAAAAATGAATCAAGATTAAAAAAAATTAATCGCAATTAATCACAGTGTTAAACAATAATAGAATACCATTTATTTAAATATTTTTGGATGTTTTCTACATTTTCAAATATATTGATTTCAATTACAACACAGAATAAAAAGTGTACAGTGCTCACTTTATATTTATTTTTGATTACAAATATTTGCACTGTAAAAAAATGAAAGAAATAATATTTTTCAATTCACCTAATACAAGTACTGTAGTGCAATCTCTTTATCATGAAAGTTTAAGTTACAAATGTAGAATTATGTACCAAAAAACTGTATTCAAAAATAAAACAATGTAAAATTTTAGAGCCTGCAAGTCCACTCAGTCCTACTTCTTATTCAGCCAATCACTAAGACAAACAAGTTTGTTTACATTTGCAGGAGATAATGCTGCCCGCTTCTTGTTTACAATGTCACCTGAAAGTGAGAACAGGTGTTTGTCCATGCGGCAATGCTGATGACGGATTCTGCTCAATAACAATCTGAAGCAGTGCAGACCAATGCATGTTCATTTTCATAATCTGAGTCAGATCCCACCAGCAGAAGGTTGATTTTCTTTTTTGGTGGTTTGGGTTCTGTAGTTTCCACATCAGAGTGTTGCTCTTTTAAGACTTCTGAAAGCATGCTCCACACCTCGTCTCTCTAAGATTTTGGAAGACACTTCAGGTTCTCAAACCTTAGGCTGATTAGAAATCTCACATTGGTACCTTCTTTGCGTTTGGTGAAATCTACAGTGAAAGTGTTCTTAAAATGAACATATGCTGGGTCATCATCTGAGACTGCTATAACATGAAATATATGGCAGAATGTGGGTAAAACAGAGCAGGGGACATACAATTCTCCCCCAAGGAGTTCAGTCACAAATTTAATTAATGCATTATTTTTTTCCGAGCATCATCAGCACGGAAGCATGTCCTCTGGAATGGTGGCCGAAGCATGAAGGGTCATACGATTGTTTAGCATATCTGGCACGTAAATACAAAAGTGCCATGCAAATGCCTGTTCTCACTTTTTGGTGACATTGTAAATAAGAAGAGGGCAACATTATCTCCTGTAAATGTAAACAAACTTGTTTGTCTTAGTGGTTGACTGAACAAGAAGTAGGGCTGAGTGGACTTCTATGCTCCAAAGTTTTACATGGTTTTGTTTTGAGTGCACTTATGTAACAAAAAAATCTACATTTGTAAATTGCACTTTCATGACAAAGAGATTGGACTACAGTACTTGTATGAGGTGAATTGAAAAATACTATTTCTTTTATCATTTTTACATTTGTAATAATCATACATAATTGTAATAATCATACATTTGTAATAATCATTTCTTTTGTTTATCATTTTTACATTTGTAATAAAAAATAATATACACTTTGATTTCAATTACAACACAGAATACAATGCATATGAAAATGTAGAAAAAATCAAAAATATTTCAATTGGTATTCTATTGTTTAACAGTATAATTAAAATTGCGATTAATCGCAATTAATTTTTTTAATCATGATTAATTTTTTTTGAGTTAATCGTGTGAGTTAACTGCGATTTACAGCCCTAATAATAATAATAATAATAATAAATAATAATAATAATTTTATGGCCAATAATAAAAATTGTAGATATTGTACACAGCTAAGCTAAGGCTTTGGGATCTAAGCTCATCAGTACAGAGTTTAGGAGGAGTATCTCTCTCTCTCTCTCTATCTGAAATAATGAAGTACCTATCGCTGGCAGATCTAAGTGCTGCTTAGTGTTGTGCATTTGACTGGGTGCCTGGGCTTTTTGTTCCCATCTTCCTCTGTAGCACAAGGTTTGGACACTGATAGAGGGAACTGATGGTCCAGTATTCTGAGCCAGCAAGATAAATCCTCTGCTTGCTGAAAATCCAAACCTGAGATTTATTAACATGTAGGAAAGCTCATGGAATATCTGGAGGAAACCGCAGTGTGGCAAAACCCAGTATTTCCTCTTTGCTGGAGACCTTCACATTGCATGCTGCTGGCTTCTGAAGATTAATTTGATTTATGTTGCATATGAATTAACAATTATAGATGGGCCCCAGCAACAAAATCTGGATCTAGATTTCCATCACCCGCCAAGTTCTGGGGTGTTTGGATCCAATGGTTCTGTTCAGTCCACTATTAGGTGTCGGACTGTGCCTGGTGACTGGGTCACTATTAGGTGCCGGACTAGCACTGGTGACTGGGACAATGTTGGTAGAAGAAGGAAAGCCCATGAAGCCTTTTCCCTCTGTCAACATGCTGGGCAAGAACCAGGAACAGTCAGTCACAGAACTCTGTGCACCCCAGGGGTGTTATTTGCCCAAAAGAGGCTGAGGGCTTTGGAGAGAGGGGCAGGACCACGGCTGTGGAGAGGGATCCCCACACACTCCCTTTGCACTTCCTGGCACTCTCCTGAGGCATAATACATCCCAGAACTGTCCCTTGGGGCTGCACAGCTTCCTACACAGTTTAATGGCTCAATGGCACAAACTAGCCCTAAGGCAAGATTAGGATCATTCATGTCTACAAAGAGAGAGTCTTTTGAGCTGGATTTGGATTTCAGGGATGTACAGCTGAGGGCTTTCGTTCAGTCCCACTTCTAGCTAAAACACCCAGCACCTGCAGTGCAGGTGGTTTAATTTTGGAAACCACGATTGCTAGAAAGACAAAGTCACTGCAGAGAAGAACATCACCACAATGTTCTTTGTGATAGAGCTACTTCTTCTGCACTGCAAGCTGGAAGGAGAATGCCACTTTCCCCTACATAGAACATTTGAAAAAGAAATGCACATGGGCAAGCAGAGAGGAAATAGAAAGACTAATAGAAAGAGTTATGCCACGTTTGGGATGCAAAGGTGTTACATCTATCAGTCTGGTAAAGCTATAAATCTGCATGTTTTAAGCCCTATACTGCACAATGAAATTCTCCTTTCACCCAAGTGCTGGGGACCTGTGTTTTCGGGGAAGGAGGGTCTGGGGCCTATTCCGGCTGCTGTGGTGAAGTTTTGAGTGGCCATGGATAGCACAGTAGTAACTGACGACTCCTGCTGTAGATGGCAGGTATAATATTTATGCAGTGAGTCCACTGACAGCCTCCTGCTTCCAAAGCACAGCCCCTACCACTAAAGCTAAAAGAGAATTCCTGTTAGCAGTATAGGGCCATAGTGGGGAGACGCTCTGATTCCATCCCGAAAAGGCAGCAGTGGTGTGGGTGCATATCTATTTATACACACACAAACTACCAATTTGTTACAGAATATACCATTAGCATATTTCCTCCTGGGTTCCAGTAGCCCCGTGAATAGCTCACATCAGCAGCTCCCGCCAACTTCATCTCACCTAATTCCAAGAGAGATGTGGTAACTGGGAGTATTTTAATCTGTTTGCAAACTAATTTGCACTGCCCGGGTCTGACTGAACAGGAAACCTATCAGCACTAGAGGCAAATCAACAAGGCTGTAAGGAGTCACCCTGGCTGTTTGGTGCATAGGGAGATTACTAACCAGTCTGCGAATATCCCTTTCACTCTCCCATTTGATCTTAGAGATGGCTTCCTGATGGGACTGATGCTCACTCCGAAGATCACCCGCCTTGATCTTATCGGCTTGAATCATGTTGGTAAGGGCCTCGTCCACCTGCTTTTTGGCAGATTTTAGTTCAGTAATTTCCTGCAAAAGTTTAAGGCGCTCGGAGTCAAATTGTTTCCTGGCCTCTTCACGAGCCTCAATGGTCAGCGCTGTCCTTACTTTGTCACTGCTCCCATCCCGCAAAGCATACAGTGCTGACTTGAGACGCTGGATTTCACTGTCTCTCACTTTAACCGTCCGAGTAATTTCCTGCTCATGCTGTTTGATTAGGTTCTCCCGCACTGCCTGCAGCTCTTTCATTTTCTCCTCATGGAGTTTGGCTTTAAGTTCAGTGATCTGCACAGTCTGCTTGCGTTGCTCCAATTCTCTGATCCGCTTAGTTTCTTGAATCTTTTCTCTTTCAAGTTTGCTGACCTACAGGTTGAGAAGAAAAGAAAATCAGCTGCCAGAAATATGTTCTAAACCATGCCCATTTGAAGTACCCATACACTCCAGCAAATCAGGGAGGAAAATCACCTGAGACACTCATCGATTCTTTCACCCTCAGTATGACAAGATATGGGCCACATCCTAAAGCACTTACTCAACTTTACTCAGGCAAAAAGTCTCCTTGACCTCATTAGGAGTTTTTCCTCAGTGAGGACTTCAGCATTTGTCCCTACATACTTTTTCTCAACATAAGTGCTTCACTGCTGTTCATTAAAATAAATGACTGAAGCCTCTTGCCCGGGCAATGACCCATCCTGCAATAACAGAGCAACCCAACAATCTTCACTAACCTTATCTTAGAGCTCGTTAGCAACCCTACAAATCAAACTCCTGTGAACATGCAATGAAGGAATGCAATTTGATGAAGAAAGAGATTTCAATAAGAACTGAATGTGACAGGCTTATTATTTACAGTAAGAAGGGAAAAGAAGGATTTTAAGATGATAAAAACTCCCGTGGCAATTTCCTTTAAAAAATACCATAAAGACTCAGAGAGTGAGCAAACCCTTTAAAGTGAGAAAGACAAGGAAAGATAAAAAAATGAATAATAATAAAATACTACCTCAGTTGAAAGCCCCCCAGGAGACACGGGTGGTGCCTTCTTACAATCGTAATTGATTTGAAGGATGGGATTTGCTAAAGCTAACGAATGCCATATGCAATATGCATTGAGGTGACATGTTTCTCTTGCATTCTGTCCCCAGGTGGTCTCAGATATACTCTCAACCAAAATATATCTCGAAGGGGGAAAAGAGTCCTAAAAGTGCAGTTTCACTTCAGTTTCAGGTCACCAAAGTTATCCTGACAGATCCTAAAAATGAGCAGTGTGTTTCTTAGGGCTTCTTAAAAAAAAATCCAATGAGCAACGTATAGAATCATAGAAGTGTAGGGCTGGAAGGGACCTTGAGGTGTCATCAAGTCCAGCCTCCTGCATTGAGGCAGGACCAACTAAAGCTAGACCATCCCTGACAGGGGTCCAACCTGTTCTTCGAACTTTCAATCAAGGGGATTCCACAGCCTCCCTTGGATGCCAGTTCCAGAGCTTAACTACCCTTATAGTTAGAAAGTTTTTCCTAATAGCTAACCTAAATTTCCCTTGCAGCAGATTAAGCCCATTGCTACTTGTCCTACTTTCTGTGGACATAGAGAACAATTGATTATAGTCCTCTTTATAACAGCCCTTAACATATCTGAAGACTGTTATCATGTCCCCCCCCCATCAGTCTTCTTTTCTCAAGTCTAAACGGGCCCAGTTCTTTTTAACTTTTCCTCTTAGGTCAGGTTTTCTAAACTTTTTATCATTTTTGTTGCTCTCCTCTGGAATCTCTCCAATTTGTCAAGATCTTTCCTAAAGTGTGGTGCCCAGAACTGGACACAGTACTCCCACTGAGACCTCACCAGTGACAGACGGAGTGGGACAGTTACCTCCCATTCCTTACATATGACCCTCCTGTTAATACACCCCAGAATGGTATTAGCCTTTGTCACAACTGCATCACATGGTGACTCATATTCAACTTCATTCTTAGGGCACCAAGCTCTGCAACAGCCCAGGTCAAAGTTGTCAAACTTGGCTGTTTAAAATTAGGCCCTAAGCTCTGTATTTAGGCACATAAATACGAGCGCTCTGTTTTTCAAAGGGGCTGAGTGCTCACAGCTCTCCCTGACAGCTAACAGCATACCACAGTGGTGCTACTGTACTATTAGCCTATGGTTACAGTGGAAATAAAGACAGAGAGGGTCAGTGAGAAAACAAAGTGGAAAGCATGAGAGAAACTCACTACTGCTTCAAGTTCCTGGCAGCCAGCCTATGGTTCCTAAGAAGAGAAGCTAATCCCTGCCTGTCTGCTAAGACATCAGTGCCAAGGCTTGAAAAACCATTGTGCCTTTCCAGGTTCTGAGATCAGCCTGCTGTAAAAGTCTGAGATGCAGGATGAATTCGAAAGAATGACTGTGTCAGTTTCCTTGTTGCTTGCGAATCCTGCCATGTTAAAATGGGTTTCAATTAATGACTATAAATCTCACTGGAGGGTGAGGGGAGAAACCCCCCCCCACAGATTATCCCAGACTGTCTATTTGTTCTTTCATCTTATTTCTGCTACAACTAAAGAAACCGATTTCCACTCAACAGGCCAATGGGCTTCTGAGATTGCCATTAGCTTTGATATGTGGATAAGAAAGCCTTTCATGATAAAAGACCCGATGGAAACTAAAGCACTTGCTGTTGTTCAGTTTTGGAAGCTCCGAGCAGCCCAGCCTAGGTTTGTTTTCCTGAGGCCATGCTTATCTGTGAAGGAATCAAAGAATTTCCATCACAGGCTTCAATTAAAATCAACTGGGGGGAAAAAAACCACATCAGTAAGTGCTGCCCTTTGAAACTGCTACTGTGGCTCAGTGGCAGATTCAGAGTCCTAGCATGTGGACAGCACTGGCCATAACTTCAGGATTCGGTGAGAGGAAATCAACAGCAACTATAACATGGGACTTCTGTTGTTTGCTGCTCATAAAGAACATCTTGTTAAAACTAAAGAGTGCCGCTATCTCATTAGCATCCAGGAGACACTTAGCTCTCTCTGTATAAGGCTTTATAGGACAAAAGCAACACTCTTGCACCTGGCAATGCACGGGAGACTCCAGGGCACAGGTGTAATGTCATGGGCTCCCGACTAGAAGCACCAGTAAGAAAGCAGGAAGTGATGCAGTGGGAAAAAACCCATTTCATTGCAAAGCAACTTCAAAACTGATGACGTTTTGCCAGCCTGAAACTATCTACTTCTTCAGGCACGACCGGCAGGAAGTGGAAAGGCTATCTGCACCTTCTCTGCAGAACAAGTGCACAGTGACAGCTAGAAATTTACACTGTGGGTGACATCCGTCACCCCCATTCCGGTTCCTTTCAGTTGGAGTGGCATGAAGAGTCCTAAAAGCCCCATATTCTGCCAAGGAAGAATTCCCTCAGTCAGCTGTAAAGCTGCTTCCTGAAGATGTCCTGCAGGCCTCAGGGGGCTGTTGGGTTGAGGCAAGAGGCAATAGACATGTGTTGGGGTGGGGCCACAGCCTACAGCACTGAAGAGATCTGTCCCATAGAGATCCCTGGGAGGCTGCTGTACTTTAGACCCTGAGTGCTGGGAACCTCTCCAGCCTCTTAGGGTATGTCACATGGCAAGAAAAAGACGCAGGGCAGAGAGACTCAGCCTGGGTCTATAGACTCAGACTTGTGCAATGAGGGTGAAAGTAGCAGTGTAGATGTTCCCAGTTGGGCTGGAGCTAGGCTCTGACTCCCACCCCACTCGCTGGGTTTCAGAGGCCAAGCAGGAAAATCTACACTGCTATTTTTAGCCTGGTAATGTGAGCTCATATCTGTAGGCCACGGCTCTGAGACTTGTTGCCATGGATTTGGGGTTTTTTGCAGTGTAGACGTACCCTAAGGGTCTACACTGAATAAAAGACCAGCAGCATGGTTGTGGCCAGCACAGGTAAGCTGACTCAGGCTTGTGGGGCTTGGGCTTCAGGGCTAAAAACTGCTATGTAGATGTTCAGCTCAGGCTGGAGCCTGAACTCTGGGACCCTTCCCCTTGTGGACCCTCCCCCGCTCAAAGGTAGGGTCCGTAAGGAAGGTCTACACTGCACATTAAACTGAGGCTCTGACTCAGGTTTGAGCCCAAGTCAGAAGGTTTGACTCTGAAGTGCTGCATGGATGCTAGCATGACTGTGAGACCTGGGTCTAGCAATTTACAATGCAGAGTAGAAGTTCAAGTGTGGGCTAGGAAACACCAACTCCACAGGCCTGGGTCCTGTAGAGTTGGGTTTACAATGCAGTGCACCTAGCCTTAGAGGTACAGCACAGGATCACACACTATATATTTATGAAGCACTTCACTCACTAGTGAAATGCAACCGTCTTTGGAGTGGCCGAAATAAGTCCTTCGAGAATGCACAGCAACACAACACAGTAGGCAGAGATAAATGAAAAACATGGTAGTCACAGAACTAACACTGAATTTAAGGGTGGCAGGATAAATCTAACTAATTGGAACGTAGCCAGGATCTTGAGGTCAACAATCCTCTTCTTCATAGGCCTGAGCCTCCTTTAACTTACCCCCATGTAAACAGAGTGTAATTCCATTGAAGTCAGGATAAAAATGGTGTAAGTACAGAAGAATCAGGCCCTGTCTTCTGGTTAAAAAACATGTGTGCCCGCCTTGATTTTCTGTTATACAGCTTTTCCAGATCTTTTTCTCCTTTGCAGATACTGTCATTTAATACTGACTCTTCACTCACCTTCGATTTCTCCTGATGCAGCTCAATTTGAATGTCTGTGAGCTTGGTCCTGAGCTCTTCATTGGCAGCCTGCAGGGCAACAATCAGTGCCTCCGGCTTCTCGCCTTTGCTGCGTCCTTTTTTTGACATTGTTTCTTCCTAATGAGAGTCTATGCGTTTAATTCCTTTCAAATAGGGACTGCCATCTTTGTTTGTTCCATTCAGTGCAAGTTGTCTCAGCACCTACTGTGTGACATTCCTTAAGGTCCTGTCCTCAGCCGCTTTGGAAGCCCTGCGAGAAATAAGACACACTGTTATTTGTCAGTGGGTCAGTGGCATCACAACGGTTCATATGGTTACAAAACATTAAGACAATAGTTCATTTTTCCAAACTCTGTGACCTCTGTCCAGAGACTTGCAAGGGGGATTTTAGCACAATCAAATTGCTATGTGTAAGCTTGGCATGCCTAATGGCTTTCAAAGCAATGTCCTCCCTCTTTCTTGTTTCCTCCAGGAGGCATTCTGCAAAGAAGTAGGAGGCAGTTTGTTTCTTAAGGATTTCTGTAGCTGAGCAAAGAGATTTTTAAAAATAATTCTGGTTCTGTTAGTTGCCACTGATTCAAAGCCTCGGATAAAGAGGTCTTCTGTGCAGAATAAGCACAGCATTGGCAGTAGTGGAACAAGCTTCCTCCACACTGCCTTATCAATCAGTGTCTCCATCCTGACCTGGGACGGTTACCTTCATAGGCATGCTGGCAGTGCCAGATCCAGGGCCATTAAGTCCCTAGCATCTCCAAGTCCTACACGACAATTGTTCACAGCAGAAAACCAACATACACGTTGACATGGTTGGTGATCTGGAGAAGTCCAGGACTATCATAGCAGAGTGTGTACCGGCTGTGTTTCTCATCCTCCCCCACGCATCCTTTCTCCTGGTCACCTGTGCAAGGACCAGGGTTAACTTTCCCCGTATTTACTGGAGAACAGGTAGTCCCACTGCCACTTCTCTAGATGGATCAGAGACAAAGACTATGATTCCCAAGGATGATTGACACCTTTTGGGGAAATAACGCAATCCACATTAGTAATTTTGTCATACAGTGAACAAACTAGCATTCTTTCTTGTTACCTTGAATTAATTTTTATTTCCACTTGTATATTATGAAATGTATCCTGAAAATGTCATCCTCTAATTCCATTTAACTAAGCTTCCATATACTGCTCCCAGTTACGCTGTTATAACTGCTTTGAAATCAATAGAGTTACTCTAGATTTACATTATTGTAACGGAGATCAGAATCTGGCCAGTATTTCCTCCACAATCCCCATGCAAGACAGAAGGTCTAATCTTGCTCGCAGTTACACCAGTGCATTGTTTCCAGTGGAGTTGCAATGGTAAATTGGTTAGTCTCTAAGGTGCCACAAGTACTCCTTTTCTTTTTGCGAATACAGACTAACACGGCTGCTACTCTGAAACCTGAGATCAGAGTGGAGCCCAAAGATTACAGTAAATTGAGACTCATGGTTGTTTTAGGAGTGGGTGAATATTGTGAAAGAAAATCTACTCTGGAAGCGGTATAGTATAAGTGGCCCATTTTTGTCATCTGTGTTGTAATGCAGCACAGCAGGGATGACATTATAATGTCCAGCTCAAACTCAGAAAATGAGGCGAAGGAGATGGGAATGGTTAAGAATGTGAAAATCTGACTGCCTATGACATATGAATGCTAATGCCTTAAGACTTGCTCGGGTTTAAACAAAGGTTGAATTTTCTCAAGATTAACCATGCAAGGTTTTGAGCTGGAGAAACAAAACAATGTGTGAGCTAAGCAGGAAAGAAAATAGATTAAAAATTCACAGGAGAGGCTTCCCTGCAGGGAAGTGATTGTTTTAAAGATCTGAACTACAGTTACAGTAGTAAGTATTTTTACTGGCTGTACTACTACAGAACCCCAATGAGCAGAGGGTACAAGAGGCTCTGAGCCCACTTGAGTTCTGATTGGCTGCAAGTGATCTCATGACTGAAACACTCTAATAATACTGCAGATGGCATGCATCACCGACTGCAGTCCTGCAGTAGTAGCCCTGGGGTGTGCTGAGCTACTTTAAGGTTAGCCTCCCACAGCAAGGCAGCAGGCCGTAAAAGATGGATGCTTTTAGTTCAGGAATGAGATACTTTGGATATTTATGCTTGAAAGCATAAAGCATGAGGATTAAACGTATCATTGCTACACAGATGGAATGTCTCAGTGTTACCCAGATAGCTGGTGTGTATGAAGATAGAGCAGGCTGGAATCACAGCAAGAAAAATCATGTTAAACTGCAACAGGAGCACCACTTGAGGTTAGAAATGTGAAAGTAAAGAGAGGATCTAAAATGAGGCATGACAAAATAAATTCCTAGTCTCCTCCAAAAAGGTAATTTACTCCTTATTAGTTTATCAAATATGCATTATACCTTTTTTATGCAGATAAAAACATGGGTTTAGCATCTGGATAGCAAGCAATTTACAGAGGTTGCTATGACACACTGAACTGCTGAGATAACAGAAGCTTTAGCTAATGCACTGGGCCACTTTGCTTACAAATCTTAAAATGCTGTCTTAGCATTATTACCAGCCACAGGGCTGAGTTTACTTGATAGTATGGGTCTATAAGGTTGTTTCATAATGGATTATGAACGGGATATAAAAGACCAAAGCAATGACAGTGGATATAAACCCAGTATAACAATAATACAATACACTCATATAATCAGCATTAATACAAATATTACAAGCATGTGAACTAATTGCAATTCCTATGGCCAAATTCTGTTAAGGGTTACTTGATGGAATTACTTTGAATTTGTACTTTGGGGCCGAATCCTTCACTAACTGAGAATTGTGTGTAGTGCTTACTGTGGGAAATCCTCACTGAAGTCAGTGGGGCTCAGTAAGCACTGAGCCATGAAGTAGGTGTGTGGAGTATTGTGTCCCAAGACTCTAATCACTAGTAAGATCAGTAGCATGTTATGGATTCTTAACAATCAATAGACTTAATGGGCATTACGCTAGATGGTTTAGTAACATCCATACTAGAATCAGTAAACTTAATAAATAATGACCAGATGGCAAAGTACTGATTATTTTTGATCTTTCACAGTAATAACTTTCTCTCTGGAATGGGCAAATGTGGACCTTCAGAGATTGAAAGGTACATGACTATCAAAAAGAAGATAACAAAAAGGGTATGTTATTTCATCTTGGGATTCAGTGTTAACTCTTAGCAGCACAATGGACATATTCAGTGAATTATTACAGTCCTGAGGTCTTTTGCATGTGCAGTTTTATCATCTCTCCAAAGACCGTTATCCTGGGATGGACGGATGTTATATCTTTAAAAATCGAGATGAGCATATAATTCAAAACAATGTGTTGGAGGAGTTTAGTCTGTCAGTGTGTGCACGCCATAGTCAGTAGCAGATCACAAGTTCCTCAACTGTGTTCTGAATTTGATAACTTTTTATTTTACGTCTACTACTGGTCATAAAAAGTGCTCTGGGATTGTTTGTTCTGCACCCACAAATCAGGTGAAGTATCTACTACAAACTGGTGCAATTGTAAGCATAGTTAAGAGTGCCTGCAGTTTTGCACCTGCAACTGTACATGCTATTTGGAGACCCAGCTATAAAGATCTATCTCTCTTCCCTCAGGTGTCCAGCTCCATTATACTCTCCTGATCTTCCCTCAACATGTAGCAGGCCCCAGACTCTTCCAACATGCTGCGAGCTCCTTCCAGACCTCCTGCAGAGAATCCCATTGTGTTGCTGGCCTCTCCAAGACCTTTCATTTTATAGTGACAGGTTTCAGAGTAGCGGCCGTGTTAGTCTGTATCCGCAAAAAGAGAAGGAGGACTTGTGGCACCTTAGAGACTAACAAACTTATTGGAGCATGAGCTTTTGTGAGCTACAGCTCACTTCATCCGATGAAGCTGTAGCTCACGAAAGCTTATGCTCAAATAAATTTGTTAGTCTCTAAGGTGCCACAAGTACGCCTTTTCTTTCATCTTATAGCGCTCTCGGCTCCCTTTCATCTGAGGCTATATCTACACTACCACTTATGTTGGTATAACTTATGTGTTTCAGGGTGTAAGTGAGGCACCTACCTGAGCAACATAGGTTATACCGACCTAAGCACTGGTGTGGACAGCGCTATGTCGGCAGGAGAGCTTCTTCCACCGACATAGCTACTGCTGCTTGGTGGGGGTGGATTAATTAAGTGGATGGAGAGCTCTCTCCTGTTGGCTTAGAGCAGCTACAGTAGAGAGCTTACAGCGGTGCAGCTGCATTGGTACAGCTGTGCCTCTGTAAGCTCTCCAGTGTAGCCATAGCCTTAGGCTCCAACATGCTTCTGCTTGTCTCCATCTTTTAAAATCTGTTGTGGCCTCCAGCTGCCTCTCTACTGAGCCAGTGGTCTGTGGGCGTTCGCAGAGTGGAGTCTTTTACTTTACAACAAGGAAAACAACAAAGAAAGAACAACTATAAAGTCTCCAAGATTGTGTCCTGCTCAGAAAAATGATTTTGAATCCTCTCACAGCCCTGATCTATTGCAAACAGGGAGACAGACTTCTTACATTTAGATGTGCATTACCCGTATTACCAAAACATACTTAAAAACACCTCTTTCCCTACAAACAGATGATTATAATATGTGGTAACTGGGATTTCAAACTCCAGAAGTACTCCAATAGAATAACATTCAGAAACTACCTTATTTGCTATAAAATAGTATTTATATTAGCAAAAATAACAACCCCCTGGAAAGGAAGCAGCCACCTTCTGTCCACTTTACAGCCTTACTCTGAATTGGATTTAGCTGGCATGCCTACTGGTGGTGGAAACAGTTTGGTTGATAATGTGGACCTTCCTTTGGAGAACAACTGAAATATCTCTGGAGACATGGATATTTGGGGCGTGGAGACACGCAGCTTAGCACTTGAACTGCACAAAATTCTTAGCGTTCAGTGATGACTTGTTGCCTTTTCTTGTCTTAATCACCCTAGAGACAGTTTTCAGAGACCTTGAATACATAATCTGTGATAATCACATGCTCTGCTAGAAGAGAAGTTCAGAATAAACAAATAAACTACCAGAGACGTAGCAGCATTTCTGATACAAACATTTGTACCCTGGTGAATTTCACTTTCACTGTTTTCTTAATGCAGAGACAGATTTAGGGTGTTGAGTTGTGCTATAGTCTAATCCACAAAAGTAGTTAAGAATATCCATTGAATACATATTGCAGATAACCTTGTGGCTAGACTGTCTGTCTGCAGTAGCACTTAAGAAAACTAACAGTAACATGAGCCAGGTTAAAACTGACCTCTCCAGAACAAAGGCAGTTCTGAAGAGAGGCAATGTGGTCTTGTGGTTAGATCAGGGATTGTGATAAATGATTCCTGTGTTCTTTTCCCATCCCTTCCACTCAGTGCTTTACTGTATGATCTTGGAAAGTTCACTTAATTCTATGCTTTTGCTTTTCCTATCAGTAGAAGGGGCATAATAATAATAATTAATTAATAACCTGTCTCACAAGGGCCTTGTGAATAGAGCTGGTTGGGAATTTTTCATCAAGTAATTTTTTCATCAAAAATACTAATTCGTCAAAATTGAAACTTTGCAAATCTAAGCTGGGCTTGATGAATTTCCCAACTCAAAAAAATTTCAAAATGGTCAAAAATGTTTCATTTTGACATTTTCTAAGTGAAAAGTTCAGAACGACTTTTCATTTCAAAATGTAAGCTAATTAGACTGGGGGGGTGGGAAAGGTTAAAAAAGAATAAAGGTTAAAATCAAAATAAACATTCTGAAATTATTGAAATGAAATGTTTCAACTGACCTGAAATGGAAAAAAAACTGATTCATGAATATTTTTGAGATTTTGCCTTTCCATCCCTATTCAAGATGGGAAAAAGCTTCAAACTCTTGAAAATATCCACAGGATGGGAAAACCATTTCCCACCCAAGTCTAGTTGTGAGGCTTAAATAATTAACATAACAAAGTACTTTGAGATTC